ACGATAGCCTCCAATGATAACCATACACTAGTCCTTACCATATTTTATCATAAAACCATGGCTTAGGCCAGGAAGGCCTTGTGCATAGCTCCACATACTTTTATGAAAAGTATATCATATATATCCCAGGCCCTTTTATGATAAGGATTTTTTTCATAAGAGGCCTTGTGCATTTCAATAACTTTTCATTACAGGTCACAACTTATCATTAACTGCTTTTCATTGCAGTCCAGCCATTTTCATTGACCACTTTTCATTGCTGGCCAGCCCTTTTCATTATCCACTTTTCATTGCTGCTGGCATTTTCATTGGGTGCTTTTCATTGCAGGCCAGGATATTTCATTGGTAGCTTTTCATTGCTCTCTAGGATTTTCATTGGCTACTTTTCATTGCAGGCCAGCCTTTCTCATTGACCACTTTTCATTGCTGCTGGTATTTTCATTGATAGCTTTTCATTGCAGGCCAGGATATTTCATTGGATACTTTTCATTGCAGGCCAGCTCTTTTCATTGACTGCTTTTCATTGCTGCTGGTATTTTCATTGGTAGCTTTTCATTGGAGGCCAGCCCTTTTCATTGGCTGCTGTCAGGTGGGTCATCAGGAGAGTGGTCACATGACCAGTTGCCTAAAATGGTTAAAAACAAAAATTGTAGTCCTGCACTGTAGCTTCCTGAATCTGTTTAAATTATGTTGTAAAGTGCTTTCATTGTAGAGATGTGAGGTAAAAGATTTTTCTCATTGCCAGCTTTTTTTTTTTTTTTTTTTGCATTTTTGCATTTTTCTCCATGAAAACAAAACCAAACAAGATGATTTCAACACATTTAGAAAGCCAAGAGAAGAGGCTACAATTATCATATTGTGGGAAAATTGTGCCAAAAAGGAAGGTGCATACCTCAAAAGGGAAATTGACATGGATAGCCTGCAAAAGGCTACAAAAAGTCTGACATAGACTATAAGGACCACTGATAGACTACAAAAGAGTACAAAACTTGGACATACCTTACAAAGTTTAAAGTTTACTAATAGACTATACAATTTACTAAAAGACTACAAAAGACTACAAAATGTCGGAAATAGACTACAAATTTTACTAACATAAGTTTGTAGTGTCCGCTTTTTGAGACTACAGAAGTTTGTAGTGTCCCCTTTTTTTAGACTACAAAAGTTTCTATTGTCTGCTATTTGAGACTACAAAAGTTGTAGTGTCCTCTTTTTTTCAACTAGAAAAGTTTGTAGTGTCTGCTATTTGAGACTACAAAAGTTTGTATTGTCTGCTTTTCAAGACTACAAAAGTTGTAGTGCCCACTTTTTTGAGACTACAAAAGTTGTAGTGTCCTCTTCTTTTAGACTACAACAATTTGTAGTGTCTGCTTTTTGAGACTACAAAAGTTTGGAGTGTCTGCTTTCTGAAATTACAAAAAAGTTTGCAGTCTGCTTCTCTGACATAAAGTGTTAGTGTCCTGAACTATGTTAAGGTTCATGGGGATATGGTTGAAGGATTGACATATATACATTGTTGCATCATTGGTTTTAGTATCATGCTCAACCTGTCTTTTGCATTAGGACAGTTGTCCTCTCTTTTTAAATCAGAAGCCACCATCCTATCTTTGACCTGGTATTCACATTAGTAGCCACTGTTGTATGTTTGACTATAGTTATTGTTGAAAGTGACTTCTCTGAAAATTATGAATTGTATGTGATGCCTGGCAGCCTATCCAGGCTTTTCATAGCATGATCCCTTGTCACCTTCCAAGCTTTCATCATTCAGTCTTAGCTCATTCAGAAGGACTGATAGGTGAAGGATAAGGGGCAGTTGGGTCATGTCTCTTTCTTAATCTTCATTGAGGAGTCATGTGAGAAAGACAATCTTGAAATTGGTAAGGCTTTTTCATCATGGACTAATGAATCAGAGTTAAGTATAGTTTGAGAGAGGAGAGTAACTATTAACATGAAAGGATAGAATAGGCTCTACTTATGTCAAAGACAAGTTGAGCATGATACAAAACCACTGATGCAGCAATATATAGATGGGTGTCAAGCCAACTCAATCCTTCAGCCATATCCCCATGAACCTTAACATAGTCAAGGACACTACACAGTATAGGTCAGAAAAGCAGACTACAAACTTTTGTAATTTCAGAAAGCAGACACTCCAAACTTCTGTAGGTTCAAAAAGTGGACACTACAAATTGTTGTAGTCTCAAAAAAGCGGACACTACAACTTTTGTAGTCTCAAATAGCAGACACTACAAACTTTTCTAGTTGAAAAAAAGAGGACACTACAACTTTTGTAGTCTCAAATAGCAGACAATAGAAACTTTTGTAGTCTAAAAAAAGGGGACACTAGAAACTTCTGTAATCTCAAAAAGCGGACACTACAAACTTTTGTAGTCTAACCAAAGGGGACACTACAAACTTATGTTAGTAAAATTTGTAGTCTATTTCCAACATTTTGTAGTCTTTTGTAGTCTTTTAGTAAATTATATAGTCTATTAGTAAACTTTAAACTTTGTAAGGTATGTCCAAGTTTTGTACTCTTTTGTAGTCTATCAGTGGTCCTTATAGTCTATGTCAGACTTTTTGTAGCCTTTTGCAGGCTATCCATGTCAATTTCCCTTTTGAGGTATGCACCTTCCTTTTTGGCACAATTTTCCCACAATATGATAATTGTAGCCTCTTCTCTTGGCTTTCTAAATGTGTTGAAATCATCTTGTTTGGTTTTGTTTTCATGGAGAAAAATGCAAAAATGCAAAAAAAAAAAAAAAAAAAGCTGGCAATGAGAAAAATCTTTTACCTCACATCTCTACAATGAAAGCACTTTACAACATAATTTAAACAGATTCAGGAAGCTACAGTGCAGGACTACAATTTTTGTTTTTAACCATTTTAGGCAACTGGTCATGTGACCACTCTCCTGATGACCCACCTGACAGCAGCCAATGAAAAGGGCTGGCCTCCAATGAAAAGCTACCAATGAAAATACCAGCAGCAATGAAAAGCAGTCAATGAAAAGAGCTGGCCTGCAATGAAAAGTATCCAATGAAATATCCTGGCCTGCAATGAAAAGCTATCAATGAAAATACCAGCAGCAATGAAAAGTGGTCAATGAGAAAGGCTGGCCTGCAATGAAAAGTAGCCAATGAAAATCCTAGAGAGCAATGAAAAGCTACCAATGAAATATCCTGGCCTGCAATGAAAAGCACCCAATGAAAATGCCAGCAGCAATGAAAAGTGGATAATGAAAAGGGCTGGCCAGCAATGAAAAGTGGTCAATGAAAATGGCTGGACTGCAATGAAAAGCAGTTACAGCTGATTCCGAAAAGGTTGTCACTACGCAATTTTTTGCAACGCATCAGCAATATAATATATGAGTGATATATTAGCTGAGTAATCAGGGAAAGGGCTAAATCGGTGATTTCAGATTTCACGATCGACAACTACATAATCTAATGAGAGATGCGATTGACTGGCTTCTTGACTGGCTCATCCATACGGATGACTATGTAACTACCAGAAACATTTTTTTGGGAGAGCCTTGAACGTTTGAACTTCTTCATCATTGAAATGTAGGCTAAACGGGAACACAAGGATAAGAACATAGAGTTAGCGGGCTTGATCCAGTGCCACTCCACGCTGTCGACGAAAAGAAAAGCCGGTTCTTCCTCGAGAATTTCAGCAATAACCTCCAGAAAGGCCTCCCACTCCATCCCAACATCGGTCATCCCAGGGCCGAGACCATGGGGGTCCACCTTGTCTGCAGACTTCTTAGCGCGACCAGTGCCGGCAGGCTTTCGAGTTGGATTTACTGGCAAGAAACCCATAATCTCGTGCTGGGCAGGCGAGGTTTCGGTGGTGTTGGCCTCGACTGGAGCAAGAGGTTGAGAAGGGGGAGGAGGGTGAGGAGTTGATGTTGGCGCCGCAATGGAACGTGTTGCTGTAGTTCGAGCCCGCTTTGGTTGAGGTGTTGGTCGGGGGGAAGGCCAATTGGTGCTGTTTGGATTGGTATACGTTTCCGAGAGGAAAGGACAATGGGTATCTGAGTGTGTGCGTGTGACCGAACGACGTGTGTGTCAAAAGTAGTCGGCGCTTCGGAACGGTCAAAATGAGTCGGCGCTTTGGATAATGGGCATCTGGGGAGGGACGGTGTCGAAGGAACGGTGTCTTTTCCAAAAGTAGTGGGCTGCAATTGGGTGGTTTGGGAATCTTTGAGCGCTATAACGGGTGGGGAGAAGAATGCGACGCACCAAAACCTTGGACTTCCAGATCACTTTGGCTCCACAAACCCCACGTCGTCACCTTGAGTTGATGAAAAACAAAAAGGTGGTGGTGGTGAAGCATGGTTATTCGCAGGAGAAGGACTCCGGGGAGGAATGCAAGGAAATCTAGGATAAAAACGGTTGAGGAAAGGGGACAGATAACGGACAGTAATCAATACAGATAAATGCCTGGGATACTTACAGATCGGGCTAACCCTGGCGTGGACCTGATTACTCAGCTAATATATCACTCATATATTATATTGCTGATGCGTTGCAAAAAATTGTGTAGTGACAACCTTTTCGGAATCAGCTGTAATGATAAGTTGTGACCTGTAATGAAAAGCTATTGAAATGCACAAGGCCTCTTATGAAAAAAATCCTTATCATAAAAGGGCCTGGGATATATATGATATACTTTTCATAAAAGTATGTGGAGCTATGCACAAGGCCTTCCTGGCCTAGGCCATGGTTTTATGATTTGGATGGTAAGCACCACTCGCAGATGTTAATGCACCAGGTAAATGGTACAGAAATGCTATTGAAGCAGCAGCATCTAGACATCATGAGGCAATTGTGAAGCTGCTGGTGGGGAATGGGGCACACATTGATGCTCAGGAAGAAAATTATGAGACACACTTCTAGCACCAGCTGTGTAATGTTATTGAAGTTGTACCTACTCTTCAACACAAGTTGCAGTGATAGGGATTAGAAAACACTGCAGCTTGCTATAGTATATGTATGCTATGAGAAACCCATCCAAATTATTGGAGTAAAGACTGGCAGAGGATGGGCCTATGCAAAGGAAGGGTGGTCATCAGTCTCAATTACAGTTGTATTTCAGCTAGAGACAAGCTTACCTCTGTATTGAACACATACTCTACAAACACACAGTCAGCCATGTACACGTCAACCTCGCAAAACATAGAAAACATACTATCCAATGGAACCACATCCGAATCTGAGAACAACAAATAAAGATACTTCAGCGTCTCACTCTGCAGCCCCATTCAGTAAACATCAAGTTCAAAGGAAAAAGACGTACCAAAAAGAACGTCTCCATCTTATCCTCCTGCCTTGCCGGGTTCTCATCTACATTGATAATCGTCGCGTACCCGCCCGTAGGGACACGGCAGTGCTTCTCGATAGATTGGAAGATCGCCCATGCGTGGTCTTGGTATATGGGATCACCTGTCAGTCGATATGCGAGGAAAAGGGATTCGATGGTTTCTGGCCTTTGTTTCATTAGTTGGTTAGTTGGGAAGGAAGAACGGAGGGGAGAAGTAGGTACCGGAGCATGTAGCGGGCGTCGTATGGTGGGAATTCGCCTTCCCTATAATGAGATTGTATACGTCAGGCAGGAGAATGTCGGGTAGCTTTAAAGAGACACATACTGAGCACCACGGATATACCAATCAGAAGGGGCAATATCGTATCCGTCCATCCCATCACTTGGCACTCTAAAGTATACAATCTCAGGTGACAACCCGCTAGGATCGTCCTTTGTCAACCCTAAGCAACTCAACTAACGTCGAGGAGACACACCTAGCAGTATCATGGGTATTCATACACGTCTTGATGAGTTCAACCCCCGTTTTCCAATCTCTTCGTCCATTTTCCGCGAGCTCTTCTGGTCGGGGGGGTATTGAGACGGGCTGTTGAGTGACTGTCCCTGTGTGTGTTGCCCCAAGCATGAGCGAACCCCCGAGGAAACAGACTAGGTGGTCTTGCTTTGGTGTCAGTCGCCATGATCTGTCATCGTCATGTGAGTGGTAGTTTGAAATGGGAAGAGAAGGGGAGACGAACATTTCGCCGTCCTCGTGATGTTCGGGGATGAGCTCGGATGTGTATGTCATTTTGGCGTTTTTGCTCTCTTGAATAAGGTATGAGTGTATGGCGGTCATGGCATCGTCGTACATCTGTGGTAGAATAAGTATGAGACACGAGGTGAGCGACAAAGGCGAACATACGTCACGGTAGACCACTTCAGATTTATTCTGTGTGTTCTATGAGAACAAAACGCGAATGGGGCTGCAAAGGCATACCGTTTGAAGGTATTGTTTTCTGTTGAGGTTTATGAGCCTGACGTACTTCACGGAGAGTCGAATTTACGAACAACAGATACTCGTAAAACGAGTCTGCTCGCGCACCAAGTCGGATGGCTGACGATTCATACTGCCCTCGGTCAATACTAAGACAAGCTGTCAACGATGCTCGTAAGAAAGCAAACAGAACAGAACGCACTTCAAAAAGATGGACGCCAAGCCGTGAGGTAACCGGGCATCTTTAATAACTCGCATGACCTGTCCTCTCTTTTTTCAGAGAACATTCATTCATCACTGAACCAACCCTACCTTTTCAACTTTGCGCCAATACACATCGTTCCCCGTCAAATGGCTCAAATACCTGAACTCCAACTGCAAAGTCCCAGCCTCTGCAACGCTAACCAGACCCGGGAAGTCGTCCATGTGACTCGGCTCCATTGTTGCTAGATTGATAACGGGCAAGGGGAGCCCTGAGGGTGTGTCGAAAACGGGTAAGATCCTGTCTGCCAGTTCAACTGCTTTTTCGAGGTAGAGTGGGTCGTGGTTGGATAGGTGGTATGCGGAGAGGAGGCCGCCGAGGACACGGATGGTTGTCTGGTTGCGGAAGGAACGCGTCACGAAAAGTTGGAGGGCAAGGAGCAACAGGTGCCTACCTCGAATGTGCTGAATCGGTCATCGCGGTCAAAGGATAGCTTGGATTGTACCCAGTTTCTGGACCTAGCGTATTCTTCTTTGAGACCCATCAGTTGCATGGTGTCGAGCACGTCGATTACCATGTAGCCGATCCCTCCTGCCTTGGTTAGGTTGCTTCCTTTTTGTTCTATGGGGTGGTATTCATCATCTCCCATGGCATCTCTCTCTGTTAAGCGTGTTCAAACGTTTGAAGTAAGAAAAAAAAGGCAGTAGTGGGTCACCATATGCATGCCAAGCGTGCTGTTGCAAGATCAGTCCCTACGCTCTGAATGATTGAATACGAGGCACGCACTTTGAACGCCTTGACCACTGCATCGCGCTTTGGTATATCGGCAGGCACATAAGTGAACGTCTCTGTTGTTGAGGAAGCTGCCGGAGCTCCATCGTAGTGCTCAGAGAACCCGATCCACGAGTCCAAGAAATTGATAACGACAGTTGGGTTCTATGATTCAAAATGAGATAAGCGTTCTCTTCAAAAAAAATTGACGCGTTTCTAACCAGATACGCAAGGATCAGCGTTGCGGTAAGGACTGAAAACCAGAGGAGGGTCAAGGAGACGCGTGGAGGTGGTGATTGAATTGCATCTTCTTTGTTGCTGCCAGCAGTATGAGATTGACTGACTGTCGAAGTCGACGTCGCGGAGACCTGCTCTGTACGCTGCTTCTTGAGCTTCTTGCGCATATGGCTGTCGCTCATGGTGAGCAGGAGGGTTACCACCTCTGTGGACAGCGACCATCACCTCGGAGTCAAAGTGTGATCGGTGGCGGTGTCACCCTATCTTTCGTTCAGCTTGTCTCGGTTCAGCTCCTTGCCTCACACGATGACTGCAAAGGCAGCATTTCCACTCGGCCTTCTGCTCGTCGCGCCTTTTCACCCAAAGTTCATCGCAGAGGATTCATGTCTCTCAAATTATTTCTACGGAACCTATCAGGACGTCCACACGCCAGGCTACACCATCTTCAACGTACCAGACCAAGAATGTTACGACGCGTGGGACGCGTATTTCCCTAGGAATACCCCATTTGTTGAGGTTCCCGAGGGGGGTAATCAATTGGTATGGCTTCACCAGGATTTTGTCGAAGAGAGCCTCTTGGAGGGCTCAACGGGAATCACAGAATCCTTCCTCAATTCGCTACTATCGTCAGACGCACCAGAACCGTTGGATCAAGAAGTTCTGACCCCCTCTCGACGACCATCTCCACCCACGATTCTCCACCAAAGCCCAACATCACTCCTCATTTCCATACCTCCTTTCCAAGCACGTACAATCGACATGCTCTTGCCCCCATTCTGGAAATCGGCCCTTCTTCCAAGAGAACCCATTCCCTATCACGCCGTATCACCCTCAGCCATAGAACCCATGAAAAAGGTGCTCAAGAAACTAAAATTTGACCCTGTAGTCGCGTCTATTGTCAACAACATCTCCATCCCTCAAATGCGTAACGATATCCGGTTCCTCACAGGGGAAGACGGCAGGTCTGACATTGTGTCTCGACATTCGTTCACTCCGGGTGCAGTGATCGCCGCGAAATGGCTCAAGGCGCGGTTTGAGAATTCTGGCGCCGAATGTCATTACAAACCATTCCTCCAAGGATTCGTGCCCAACGTCGTATGGTGTGTAACACATCTTAAATTTCCTTCCTTCACTAACTAATTTCTTCAGCCGATACTCCGCCGTCAGTCCGACGAACGACACCATTATAATCAGCGGGCACTACGACAGCCGTGGATCCTTCGGAAGCACACGCGCTCCAGGTGCAAACGACGACGGTTCGGGCACCACTGGCGTCCTAGCAATTGCGCGCACCATTGCCCGAAAAGGCGTCAGGTTTACAAACGCCAACGTTGAGCTTGTCGCGTTCGCTGGTGAGGAGCAGGGGTTGTTGGGGTCCAAGGCGTATGCTAGTATGTTTGCTTCTTCCCCTTTTTTGGCCTTACGGCCACTGATGGTGGCTCAGAAGAATTAAGGGCTGCCAATGCGAGCGTTATTTTGATGATCCAGGCTGATATGACGGCGTATCGTGCCCCTGGCGAGCCAATGCAACTTGGGCTTCCGGAACGGTACGTAACCCCCTCCGTGGGCTCCTGCCGACTCTTCTCAAAAGCAATCTATAGAATTGGGACACCAGAAGTGACCCAGCTCGTATGGAACATCTCTGAAATCTACAGCCCCGAGCTTCATCTTGGACTTACACCAGTACGTATTTTCTCTGATCCCCAATGCATTATCTGATAACGGTGATGACGCAGGTGTGCTGCAGTGACCACCAGGTCAGTCTACCCTAATTCTCCCTCCCTCTGCGAGATAACTGACTGTTAAATCTCTCAGTCCTTCATCGAGCAAGGCTACCCAGTGACCCAGCTTTTCGAACGTGTTGGACGGAGTAAGTTCCTCGTCTCCCCATCCCCACATCTACGCGATTAACGCTGACGGCATGGGCTAGTCGCGGACCCGATGTATCATAACAGCCGTAAGTATCATCTTCCTCCTTTAATTAAACCCACATCTTAACGAAATTGTTAGATGATCTGAGTGAGAGGGAAGGGTACGACTTGACCAGATGTATGCTATCGCTAAGGTGCAGGTACGCTGATGGTTCTTCGAGAAATCGCTATCCTGCTAACTGCTTTCTCATAGTTTGCCGCTGTGCTTCATACGGCTGGGTATGAACTGGAGTGAATTGTTTGGGCGTTTACCTGGTCGTTTATACCTGAGTCTTTTGCTGATTTTTTTGGATTTGGTTGTACGTATCATTATCGATGTTTTCTTTTTTTGCTGCCGTTTCCCCAGATTGTACTCAACGTCGTTGCTGCTCCTATGGTCGTTTCAACAATCAATGAACCCTTCTTCTTCTCAAGAACAAGATGTCAGAAGATCTCTCCGTTCTTGGATTCTTTACATCATGCCATCTCAAACCAGAGTTGTCGGTAGCGTCAAAAACTCTCCAACTGAAGCTGAAGTAGCACAGGAGGCTGGCACTCGAGGCTGGAATACGGGCATCTGGACATGCCTGAGAACCACGGGCATGCGGACATGCCTGAGAACTTTCCCGCCCGCTGTCGGAGTCACCACACGTCTGCACAGCCACAGAGCCTACGCATATAAGCCGACGTTTTTCCCGCCCACACCTTTCCAAGCCCTTTCCCAGCCTCTGTCACTGTGGAGCTGCCCTCCTGTTCTTCTCCTCCCTCTGCTTGATTCTCTTCGCCGTCCGAGCGCCTTGGTGTCTAACTTGGAATTGGTCTCTTACGTGCTTCAAAGTTTTCAAGTCGCGCTCTGAAGGCAACTTCACTGGATTCACAGTTCGGCGTCAATTTGGCGGCCTTTCCGTCCTTTTCTTTTTACCCCCATTTTCTGCTTTCCTGATCCCCTCCCTGTACCCTGTCTTTTCCTTTTTCCGTCCCTCTTTTCCCTCCCTTCTATCTTCCTCTTCCATCCCTTCTATCTTCATCTTTCCCTCCCTTCTATCTTCCTCTTTCCTTCCCTTCTCGACTATCCTTCCTTTTTCCCTCCCCTTTACTCCCATTTTTCGCTTTCCTGATCCCCTCCCTGCGCCCTTCCCCTCACACTCTTTTTCTCTTTCCTTCCCTCCTTCTTTTCCTCCCTTCTATCTTCCTCTTTCCCTTCCCTCCCTTTCTTTTCCCTTGCCTTGCTTTCCTCCACCCTCCTTGCCCCCGTGTGCTTGATTGAAGAGGGTGCGCGTTAAAGGATCCCCCAATTATATGAACCATTACAAACGAAATGAAAAATGATAATGATATGTGTCATCATTTAGATTCTGTCCGAGCTTTTGAACGCAAAACTTCAACTGGAGCAATCTCCCAAAAATGTCAACGTCAATTGCACCGTGAAGTTACAACAGAAGATTACAAGACGGTCAACTGTGTGCCTCAAGATGACGAACACGACCGTGAATTTCATGTGAGTGGAAGCTCAGCAGTGCCATCTCTTGTCCCAGACAAAGGCAACAGATTCAGTTCAAGCTTCAAATGTGTGATCAAAGTAACGCAACCTCAACGTCAAGACTTCTCGCCATTGTTTGAGTGAGTATCCGAGATTTGAAAGTATGGCCTCAAAAAGAAACGATTTCATGATCCCAGTTGTGCGATAAATCTGCCACACTCCGAGCTCGCCGAGAAGAATTAATTACGGAGATCAAGCACAAATCACCCAAAATTCCACATGACGTGCAGCAATTATGGCAAAGGATTGAAAGTACGACAACTATATTTTTCTGGGCTTGAGTATCAACCATTCAACAGATCTGCGTGAATTATATATGGTACAAATGAAGGAGAAGTGACGTTTGTGCAACGGAACAAGACAGGACGCGACAAAGCATTGACTATCCGATGAGTGACAGAAGACAAGAAGGAGCGAGAGCAAGATCTTAGCAACCAATATCAGCGAAAGTATAGTCCATCGAAGGGTGAAAAATCAGGCAGCGAAGAGCCTCCATCCGAAGCCCTTAAGCTTCAACAACAAGCGTCGCTGCAGTATGATGAGCGCAATACACATCACAACTTCCAAAACAACGAACCCAGAAGTGCCCATCTGGAGCAAGTTCCTCGCCGTTCTCGTCGCCAAACAGGGACGCAGCGTCTTGATTCTGAACGGATATGAAGTGAGCAAGAAGGCCCGACAAATGCACTAGAAGAGCGGCCTACCGGATAATAGGTGCACCTATACGTGATGAAGGCTGAGGCTGGGGCCGTGTCACGGAGGTCAATCGTACGCTGTGGGAGGGACGTAGAAGCCTCAGTAACGGGAAGTGGACCTCGTGAACGCGACATACCATAAATTCCTCGTCGCTTGATGGAGCATGGACGGGAATGTGAATTTCGCGAGTCTGTGCGCGTTGGAAGTCGCGCAGGGTAACCGAATTGCTCAGAACGAGCGTAAAAGACGGGAGGACGAGTCGCGAAAGAGGCATTGTGGAAGTAGACTAAAATGATGTATGTTTTAGTTTGTAGAAGGACAGACAAGGAGCGTTGGGGTGGTGGTGGTGATGGTGGGCGTGATAAGGAAGAGAGACCCAGCGAAACTGGGTGATTTATGTTGGAAAATGGGGTCCAAATAACCGTCAAAACAGCGGCGACCTTAGAATCCCTTGACTCAAAGTTTAAATTTTCGGTTCCTGGATTTCTAGGCTGGGAATGGTTGGATCTCGTGTAGAATTGGTGTCATTTGTCGTTGATAGGAGGCAGGAGGGCTGGCTTCCCGGAAAAGACCAGTGGGGAGGAGTGAATAGATGGCGACGGTATCCTCTGCCCAAGCGCCCAGGAGGAGATCCGGGGAAGGCACTGCCGAAAGTTGTGACAAACACAATGTCCAACAGTTGCCGCATCAGCCCAAAGCTTCTTACGTCGGGTGAAGTGGTGGTACCTTCCTAGCAGTCAAGTCGCAGCTGCATGATGCTCAGCGACTGCAGGCCTTGCAGATCTTCAAGATGGCTTCGAACAGGATCGTATGCGACAGACTTTCACCAGGGGCCGGGTCGACTCAATCCACGGCAAACTGGAAGCACGCAAGGACAGTAAAAATTCAGAGGGGCGTGAATCACCATAGATATGATACTCCCTCACATTCTCGATGACCGCTAAAGACGAATGTAGCAGAGCGCTGCATGAAGGGACGTCAACATTTCGAGGTCTGCTGGTGAAGGAGGTGTCTGTGCTGACTTCCTATGTAGATTCCAAGGTTCGACATCGTGCTGAAGAACAACGGAAAGCAAATCATGCTTGAGACGGCTGTCACCTCTGGTCGGATCCATGAGGGTTTAGTGGTGCTTTGGACCACCGAAGGACACTGGAGTTTCAGAGGACAGATCCACAGCTTCCTTGAGGAAGCGTTCATGGGGACACGTCGCCCACTCTGCAGCTGCAGTAACCAAGACAGTGTCTCAACCTCTGCTGCGAGAGGCATCGTCTCGTTTCCGAATTTGTGGTCCAATGACTCCTTGAGCAGGGAAAGTACTCCAGGTGAGCAAATTCATTCATGATTCCAGGGCGTGCTCTCAACGAACCCTGTGCAGATCAGGCTCAGGAGCGCAATCACTCTTGTAGCCCCGTGGACCATAACCTGCACGATATTTATTGACCCTTGATCTTAAACTGGAGCGGTCGCCTACTGTTTATTAGGACGACGAGATTGGTAGACGAAAACGAACGTCCGCCTCCGAAGTCGAACTATCGCGGCAATTATAAAAGTGGACGCCCTTTCGGTTTGATCGGACTGTTAGAACGTTTTGAGACCTCCACAGTTCTCCAAAGGCTTCAGTCGGCTCTCAACCATTGATTTCCAAGACCGTCACGTGACAAGATAGGGGAAGGGTGATGTGCGACCATAACGGCGATTTCTCCTTCATTATGGATAATGAAAGTCAGCAAAGTATCCAGTGTAGGCTGAAGACGTGGGGAAAACCAAGAACTTGTTGGGAGTCGAAGTCGAAAATCAAGAGGTCCAGATTCGCGAGTCTATGTGCCAACCTCTTGAATTCTTGTCGAATTTAATAGGGAAGGAGACGACAAGGGCGCTGAGGTAGTGCCGTATCTTTGAAACTTCCAGTCAGAATCGACAGATTTTGGTGGACGTGGCAAGGAATGCATGACTTGAACTTCTGCTGGCATTTTTCCTCGAAAGATCAGCGGTCTTTGCCTGGCAAACTCTGTGAAATCTGGAGAACTCGTGAATCAACATACAAAGAGCAAGAGCAATCACATACCGTCGTCCACGCGATGGGGTATGGGCGACCTTTAGTCTAGCCCTCCTCGTCGTATTTGCCGACACCGACCGCCTATCACCACAACTCCTTGTCTACTGTCTGGTAACCTCTCGTCCTAATGAGTCCCATGAAGTAGAACATGCCGATGCGCCTCGAGTGCCTGACGCCAAGCAATGAATGTGTCGTTGGTTGTGCACAAGTTGTACAGAAGGCTCATGTGGCCAAATATGAATCAAAACATAGCACAGGCCACCGCTTCCAAATTGCGCCTCAAACTAATCTCCAACCCAACAGTATCGATGCCCTCCATTCCCATGGTTCGCCGTTTTTTCGAATGGAATGATGCGGGTTGTTGCAAGCAAAATTGCAATGTGTGGATGATGGTGTTGCGTTGTCCCGTGTTTCTCAACCTTCCAGTTTCATTGGGGATCAATCAGACATACCTAATTTCCTGACACCTCCTACAACTTGACATTCATGAATTTCTCGAAATTTATCCTGAAGCTCAGTCGAAAGATCCCTCCGACATAAGCCTAATGTTGCCCAACCTCGCTCTGAAAACTTCTTTGGAACTGAAGAATTCAGAACCTGAAATTCTGGAGACAGCAATCTACTGAGCGAGCCTCGCCCTAGACATACCAGTCATGGTCCACCATCCAGTCATCTGGATCTGACCGTCAAGCGACAGATTCTGCCCAACGACAACGACAAGCATTATTCAAAGTTTTCTCCTCATACCTCTTCCCATCCCCCTCATTGTCTTTGCACCAAAACGTCTCCCATCCGCTTACCACGGCTGCTTCCAATTCAACACAATTGAAAGGACTCTTTCATGGTATGTTTTGTCCCAAACAAAATTCGGATGTCATGCGCCACTAAATAAATTGTATAGATTGCAGCCTTGGAGCATCGACTCGATCGAAAAAACGTCCATCGCGTCAATAAACTTGAGCACCTGAAGATGCATTGACAATAAACAACCCACCTGACGCCCAACACGCCCAGCCACCAGCGATGACCCTTGGATTAGGATGCTTCCGCTAAGCGTTCCCTTCGAGATCCAGATTCGAGTCCCTGTAATCACTTTGATTCGCTTCAATACTTGTGTTCAATCTCAGGGTTCTCATTATCAGGATCTCATCGTTGTTCCCTATGGTCGTCCCTTCTTTAAAGAGGGACAACTATTTCAAATGGCCTCTCTCAAACCACCCACTTCAATATGTCTTCCTTGCTCGGCCCAGTAGGTTCATCTGATCCAGCAAGGCTACATCCATGAAATACGCGAACTTGATCTGGCCGGAAAAAACCAACGATTGTATGAATAAGACCGCGGTTGTTAAATATTACGAGATCTTTATTCTCCCACGGATGCGGATAGACGAGCTGAGGAGGAAAGAGGACAAGATCCTACATTAGAAATGTTCGACTGCTTCTCTAAAGCGCACTTACGTTTGGCGCGATCCCAGGCCTTTGCATCTTATACACGATTTCTCGGACTTTGCGAAGATCTGTGATGTGGCCACCGTCTGAGTATAACGTCCCAGGATCACTTCGACAATTCTCTGGAACTGGCTCAACGTGAATCTCCGAGATTGCACATGGATGGACTTGGAGATGAAGGGATCCTGTCACTGGATTTTTCCACACCTAAACGAAGCAAATTACTTGTGGTGGCGACTGGTTCTAGGAGTGGAGCGACCTACAAATGGGTATACCTTGACTTTATCTTCATCCCAGCTCGACAATGTATCCAACGGTTTTTCCAATCCCTCATTCTCCAACCCCAGCCCAGTCGATGTTGCCCTAGCTCTTGCCATCCATTCAAACGGGTGTGGCGCGTACCTAGCCCAAGCCCTCACCGCGAAGCTTTTCAGCTCCTTGGGCAATATATCGAACATTATTTTTCCTGATGCAAACGCCGTCGTTCCCAGAGTGACACTCAACTCGTCCCCAGAGCCGTCATCGTATCTGACCGTTTGTGCCGGTCCCTGTGGAACTTGGATCGCATATAGGGCAGTTGCTTTCGATGGAGATGACTCATATAACGCGGAATCCATATGCCAACGGAAGAAACGTGTCGCGGGAGGACTTCCATCTTTAGGGTGTTCATCTTCAATTGGGACTCGCGTCTTCTGGAAGCTCTCGTGATGTTCGTGCCTGAGCGTTATTTCCGGGATGCCTTCGTGGTCGTAAACGGTACCGTGGCCTATGAGCCGGATTTGAGGGATACGTGGGATCTTGTTGGCGTAGGCGTCCACGATTCCTTTTCCCATCTCGTCTGTTTTGTGGACGTATTTTCTGCTTTGGGGTCGAACGCCTGGGAACGGAATATACGCTCTTCATTCAAATCGTTGATTCTGCGAACACTTACCTTGACCAAGGCGAATTGCTGTTCAAGGGACAAGTCGATATCTCGAAACAAAAGGAAGTCATGCTCTCACTGAGGTTAGTGTCAAGGACGCCTGAATTTTATATGAAGAACACCTTGTACAAGGCTTCTTCGATTTCATTGAACTCGTCTGCAGTGCAATTCCCTGGGTGGATATCCTTGACCTCCCTGCCGAAATCTGAGAACTTCTCCCGGTCGACGTTAGCAGGAAGAACCAGAGGTGCCAGCTTTATGGTCATCGTGATGATTGGTAAGGATGAAGATCTGATTAGGGCGCTGGCGTAATTTGGAAGGAGGTTTGTATTGGTGCATGCCATCACCTAAACGTCGTCACTTTTGATCTCTAATTCTCAGGTGCGTTCCAAGGGGCTCCCAGCGGCAAAGCCCGGAACCCCCAACCTCGGTGGGTCGGTTCCTCTGATGTCCAAATTGGGACAGACAACACGATCCACGAGTCCAAGAAATTGATAACGAGAGTTGGGTTCTATCGTTCAAAATAAAGTAAGCGTCCTCTTCAAGCAGAAGTAACGCGTTTCTGACCAAGTATGCAAGGATCAACGTTGGGGTAAGGACTGAAAACCAGAGGAGGGTCAAGGAGACGCGTGGAGGTGGTGATTGAATTGCATCTTCTTTGTTGCTGCCAGCAGTATGAGATTGACTGACTCTTGAAGTCGACGTCGCGGAGACATGCTCTGTACGCTGCTTCTTGAGCCTCTTGCGCATACGACTGTCGCTCACGGTGAGCAGGAGGGTTATGACCTCTGTGAGTGTGATCTGTGGCGGTGTCACCCTATCTTTCGCTCTGCTTGTCTCAACGTTCAGCTCCCTCACACGATGTCTACAAAGGCAGCATTTCCATTCTTCCTTCTGCTCGTTGCGCCTTTCCACCCAAAATTCGTCGCAGAACATTCATGTCTCTCAAATTACTTCTACGGAACCTATCAGGACGTCCACACACCAGGCTACAGCATCTTCAATGTACCAGACTAAGAATGTTACGACGCGTATTTTCCTAGGAATACCCCATCTGTGGAGATTCCCGAGGGGGCTAATCAACTGGTGTGGCTTCACCAGGATTTTGTCGAAGAGAGCCTCTTGGAGGGCTCAACGGGAATCACAGATTCCTTCCTCAATTCGCTGCTATTGTCAGACTTACCAGAACCGCTGGATCAAGAAGTTTTGACCCCCTCTCGACGACCATCCCCACCCACGATTCTCCACCAAAGTCCAACGTCACTCCTCATTTCAATACCTCCTTTCCAAGCACGTACAATCGACACGCTCTTGCCCCCATTCTGGAAATCAGCCCTTCTTCCAAGAGAGCCCATTCCCTATCACGCCGTGTCACCCTCAACCATAGAGCCCGTGAAAAATGCGCTTAAGAAACTAAAGTTTGACCCCGTAGTCGCGTCTATCGTCAACAACATCTCCATCCCTCAAATGCGTAACGATATTCGGTTCCTCGCAGGGGAAGACGGAAGGTCTGGCATAGTCTCTAGACATTCGTTCACCCCGGGTGCCGTTATCGCCGCGAAATGGCTGAAGGCGCGGTTCGAGGATTCTGGCTCTGAATGTCATTATAAACCATTCCTTCAAGGATTCGTGCCCAACGTCGTATGGTGTGTAACACATCTATAATTCTCTTCTTCAGTCAACTTATTTCTTCAGCCGGTACTCCGCCGTCAATCCGACGAACGACACCATCATAATCAGCGGGCACTGCGACAGCCGCGGCCGTGGATCCCTTCGGAAGCACACGCGCTCCAGGTGCAAACGACGACGGTTCCGGAAACACTGGCGTCCTTGCAATTGCGCGCACCATTGCCCGAAAAGGTGTCAGATTCACAAACGCTAACGTGGAGCTCGTCGCGTTCGCTGGTGAGGAGCAGGGCTTGTTGGGGTCCAAGGCTTATGCTAGTATGTTCCGAGCTTCCTTTAGTTTGCCTTCCGGGCACTGATGGTGATTCAGAGGAATCAAGAGCTGCCAATGCAAGTGTAATTTTGATGATTCAGGCTGATATGACGGCGTATCGTGCCCCTGGCGAGCCTATGCAACTTGGACTTCCGGAGCGGTGCGTAACCTCCTCTGTGGGCTCCTGCCGACTCTTCTCAAAAGCAATCTATAGAATTGGCACACCAGAAGTTACCCAGCTCGTATGGAACATCTCTGAAATCTACAGCCCTGAGTTTCATCTTGGACTTACACCAGTACGTATCTTTTCTGATCCCTAATGCATTATCTGATAACGGTGATGACGTAGGTGTGCTGCAGTGACCACCAGGTCAGTCTGCCCTAACTCTCCCTCCCTCTGCGAGATAACTGACTGTTAAATCTCTCAGTTCTTCATCGAGCAAGGCTACCCAGTAACCCAGCTTTTCGAACGTGTTGGACGGAGTAAGTTCCCCCTCTCTCCATTCCCACATAGCGCGCTGAATGCTGACGGCATGGGCTAGTCGCGGACCCGATGTATCATAATAGCCGTAAGCATCATCTTCCTCCCTTAATTAGACCCACATCTTAAAGAAATTGTTAGATCTGAGTGAGAGGGAAGGGTACGACTTTGACCAGATGTATGCCATCGCTAAAGTGCAGGTACGCCGGTGGTCCTATGAAAACACACTAGTCTTGCTAACTAGCTGCTTTCCCATAGTTTGCCGCTGTGCTTCATACGGCTGGGTATGAACTGGAGTGAATTGTTTGTTTAATTTGTCGTTTATATGGTTTTTTGGATTTGGTTGTACGTATCATTATCAAAGTTTTCTTTTTTTGCTGCCGTTTCCCCAGATTGCACTCAACGTCGTTGCTGCTCCTATGGTCGTTTCGCCAATCTTCATTTTAAGAACGGGCATTCGGACATGCCTGAGAACTTTCTCGCCGCACCACACGTCTGCACAGCCACACAGCCTACACATATAAGCCCGACGTTTTTCCCGCCCACGCCTTTCCCAGCCCTTTCCCAGCCTCTGTCACTGTGGAGCTGCCCTTCCGTTCTTCTCCTCCCTCTGCTTGATTCTCTTCCGTTCGAATGCCTTTTGGTGTCCAACTTGGAATCGGTCTCTTGCGTGCGTTCAAGGCTTGAAGTCGGGCTCTGCAAGCAACTTCAATGGAATCACAGTTCGGCGTCAATTTGGCGGCGTTTCCGTCCTTTTCTTTTTACTCCCATTTTCCGCTTTCCTGACCCCCTCCCTGTACCCTCTCTTTTCCTTTTTCCGTCCCTCTTTTTCCTCCTTTCTATCTTCCTCTTCCATCCCTTCTATCTTCCTCTTTCCCTCCCTTCTATCTTCCTCTTTCCTTCCCTTCTCGACTATCCTTCCTCTTTCCCTCCCCTTTACTCCCATTTTTCGCTTTCCTGATCCCCTCCCTGCGCCCTTCCCCTCACACTCTTTTTCTCTTTCCTTCCCTCCTTCTTTTCCTCCCTTCTATCTTCCTCTTTCCCTTCCCTCCCTTTCTTTTCCCTTGCCTTGCTTTCCTCCACCCTCCTTGCCCCCGTGTGCTTGATTGAAGAGGGTGCGCGTTAAAGGATCCCCCAATCAACACGAGATTATATGAACCATTACAAACGAAATGAAAAATGATAATGATATGTGGCGTCATTTAGATTCTGTCCGAGCTTTTGAACGCAAAACTTCAACTGGAGCAATCTCCAAAAAATGTCAACGTCAATTCTACCATGAAGTTACAACAGAAGATTACAAGACGGTCAACTGTGTGCCTCAAGATGACGAACACGACCGTGAATTTCATGTGAGTGGAAGCTCAGCAGTGCCAACTCTTGTCCCAGACAAAGGCAACAGATTCAATTCAAGCTTCAAATGTGTGATCAAAGTAGCACTTGAACGTCAACGTCAAGTCTTCTCGCCATTATCTGAGTGAGTATGCCGAGATCTAGAAATATGGCCTCAAAAAGAAACGATTTCACGATCCCAGAATGTGCCAAATTGTGTGTCTGTCGTCGCGACAAATTTGCTACACCCCGAGCTCGTGGAGAAGAATTCATATCATAAATCAAGCTCGAATCATCCAAAATTCCGGATGACGTGCAGCAATTATGGCAAGGATTGAATGTACGACAACTATATTTTTCTGGGCTTGAGTATAAACTATTCAACAGATCTGGGTGAATTATATATGATACAAATGAAGGAGAAGTTTGTGCGGCGGAATGTGCAAGACAGTACTACACAGGAGGCGACAAACCATTGACTATGCGATGAGTGATGTGCAAGAAGGAGCGAGAGCAAGACGTTAACGAGCAATAATCGGTGAAAGTAGAGAGTCCATCCAACGGTGAAAAATCAGGCAGCGAAGAGCCTCCCTGCGAAGCCCTTGACCTTCAACACCAAGCGTCGCTGCAGTATGATGAGCACAATACACATCAAAACTTCAAAAAGACGAACCCAGAAATGCCCATCTGGAGCAAGTTCCTCGCCGTTCACGTCGCCAAACAGGGACGCGGCGTCTTGATCCTGTACAGATATGAATTGAGCAAGAAGGCCTGATAGACTCATTGGAAGAACGGCCTACCGGATAATAGGTGCACTTATACGTGATGAAGGCTGAGGCTGGGGCCGTGTCACGGAGGTCAATCGTACGCTGTGGGAGGGACGTAGAAGCCTCAGTCACGGGAAGTGGACCTCGTGAACGCGACATACCATAAATTCCTCGTCGCTTGATGGAGCAAGGATGGGAATGTGAATTTCGCGAGTATGGGCGCGTTGGAAGTCGCGCAGGGTAACAGAGTTGCTGAGAACCAGCGTAAAAGACGGGAGGACGAGTTGCGAAAGAGGCATTGTGGAAGTAGACTAAAATGATGTATGTTTTAGTTTGTGGAAGGACAGAAAAGGAGCGTTAGGGCGGTGGTGGTGGTGGTGGGCGTGATAAGGAAGAGAGACCCAGCGAAACTGGGTGATTTATATTGGAAAATGGGGTCCAAATAACCGTCAAAACAGCGGCGACCTTAGAATTCCTTGACTCAAAGTTTAAATTTTCGGTTCCTGGATTTCTAGGCTGGGAATGGTTGGATCTCGTGTAGAATTGGTGTCATTTGTCGTTGATAGGAGGCAGGAGGGCTGGCTTCCCGGAAAAGACCAGTGGGGAGGAGTGAATAGATGGCGACGGTATCCTCTGCCCAAGCGCCCAGGAGGAGATACGGGGAAGGCACTGCCGAAAGTTGTGACAAACACAATGTCCAACAGTTGCCGCATCAGCCCAAAGCTTCTTACGTCGGGTGAAGTGGTCGTACCTTCCCCCAGCAGTCAAATCGCGGCTTGCATAGTGCTCAGCGACCGCAGGCCTTGCCGATCTTCAAGATTCCTTCGAATAGGATCGTATGCGACAGACTTTCACCAGGGTCGACTCAATCCACGGCAAACTGGAAGCACACAAGGACACTAGAAATTCAGAGGGGCGTGAATCACCATAGATATGATACTCCCTCATATTCTCGATGACCACTGAAGACAAATGTAGCAGAGCGCTCCATGAAGGCATGTCAACGTTTCGAGGTCTGCTGGTGAAGGAGGTGTCTGTGCTGACTTCCTACGTAGATTCCAAGGTTCGACATCATGTTGAAGAACAGATCATGCTTGAGACGGTGGTCGGATCCATGGGGGCTTGGTGGTGCTTCGGATAAAAAGCAGCCCCACCGAAGGACACTGAAGTCTCGAAGGACAGTCATGAGGATCCACAGCTTCCTTAAGGAAGCGTTCATGAGGACATGTCGCCCACTCTGCAGCTGCAGTCATTGAGACAATGTCTCAATATCTGCTGCGAGAGGCATCGTCTCGTTTCCGAATTTCCGGTCCAATGACTCCCTGCGCGGGGGAAGTGCTCCAGGTGAGCAAACCCATCCATGACAGAATCCAGGGCGTGCTCTCGAAGGAACCCTGTGCAGATCAGGCTCAGGAGGGCAATCACTCTTGAAGCCCCCTGGACCATAGCCCCTTGATCTCAAACGGGAGCGGTCGCCTACTGTTTATCAGGACGACGAGGTTGGCAGACGAACACGAACGTCCGCCTCCGAAGTCGAACTATCGCGGCAAATAGCGAATTGGACGCCCTTTCATTTGGGTCGAAAGAAAAAGTTTTTGAGACCTCCACAGTTTTCCAAAGAATCGCCTCTCGACCATTGAATTCCAAGACCGTCACGTGATAACATAGGGGAAGGGGATGATGTGCAACCAAACGGCGATTTCTCCTTCATTATGGATTATGCCAGTCGGCAAAGTATCCAGTGTAGGCTGGCGACGCGGGGAAAACCAAGATTTGGTCTGGAGTCGAAGTCGGAAATCAAGAGGTCCAGATTTGCGGTTCTATGCGCCAACCCCTTGTTTTTGGGTCGAAATTGAGTGGGAAGGAGGCGACAAAGGCGCTGAAATAGTGCCTTATCGTTGAAACTGCCAGTCAGATTCGACAAGTTTTCATAAACGTGGCAAAGAATGCATGACTTGAAGTTCTGCTGGCATTTCTCCTCGAAAAACAGTGGTCCTCGCCTGGCAAACTTTGTGAAATCTGGAGAACTCATGAATCGACATACAAAGAACAAGAACGATCACATACCGTCGTCCACGCGGTGGGGTATGGGCGACCTTCAGCCTAGCCTTCCTCGTCATCATTGCCGATACTGATCGCCTTCACCACAACCCCTTGTCTACTGTCTGGTAACCTTTCGTCCTATTGAGTTCCATGAAGTAGAACATGCCGACGCGCCTCGAGCGCCTGACGCCAGGCAATGAATTCGTCGTTGGTTGAGCTCTGGTTGTGCAGAATGTGGCCAAATCTGACGGCACAAGCCACCGCTTCCAAATTCCAACTAATCTCCAACCCAACAGTATCGACGCCCTCCATTCCCATAGTTCACCGGATTTTTTTGAAGGCCTTGTTCCGAATGGAATGATGTGGGTTGTTGCAAGCAAAATTTTGTGGATGGTGGTCGCGTTTGTCAACCTTCCTTTCTTCGGTTTCATTGGAGAACAATCAAACATACCAAATTTCCAGCCTCCTACAACTTCACATCCATCCCTCCGACATAACCCAGCGTTTCCCAACCTCGCTCTGAAAAGTCATGGAAACTTCTCTGGAACTGAAGCATTCGGAACCTGAAATTCTGGAGACAGTCATCTACGCTCGCCCTGGACATACTACTATAGTCATGGTCTACCGTGCAGTCATCTGTATCTGACCGTCAAGCGACGGATTCTGCCCAACGACAAGGACATATATCGTTTTCTCCTCCTACCTCTTTCCATCCCCCTCATTGTCTCTACACAAAACAAAAAAAAGTCTCCCATCCGCTTACCACGGCTGCTTCCCACTCAACACAATCGAAAGGACTATTTCATGGTCATACGCCATCAAATAATTGTATAGATTGCGGCCTTGAGGCATCCACTCGATCGAAAGAACATCTACTGTGAAACTTGACTTGTGTTCTTATGGAACTCGTTGCCGTTCTCCTGCATTAAAAAATAGTCACCAAGAGATACTTCATACATGCCAACCGATGGTCTCCTTCACTGGCAACCTACCCACTTCAACTTGTCTTCCTCGCTCAGCCCAGCAGGTTCATCCGATCCAGCAAGGCCGCACTGATGAAAGATCCGAACCTGGTCTGGCTTGAACAAACCAACGTCCGTATGAATAAGGCCGCGGTTGTTAAATATTACGAGATCGTTGGCCTCCCATGGATGCGGATAGACGAGCTGAAGGCAAAAAGAATGAGATCAACCAAGGAAGTCGAACAGCTTGACGACTGACATTTGGTGCAATTCCAGGTCTTTGCATACTATAAACAAGTTCTCGAACTTCGCGAAGATCCGTGATGTGCCCGCCGTCTGGATACAACGTTCCAAAGTTATTTGCGACTTGACAGCTCTCTGGTACTGGTTCGATGTAAATCTCGGAGATTGCACATGGATGGACTTGAAGATGGAGGGATCCTGTCACCGGGTTTTTCCAGACCTAGCACCGACATGGGTTACCTACAATGGGCCCAAGAATGGGGCGACATACCAAAGGGTACACCTTGACCTTCTCCTCATCCCAGCTCATCAACGTTTCCAACGGTTTCTCGAATCCCTCACTCTCCAACCCCAACCCAGTCGACACTCCCTTAGCTGCTGCCATCCACTCGAACGGATGAGGCGCATATCTAGCTTTAGCCCTCACCGCAAGGCTCTTCAACTCCTTTGGCAAAATATCAAACATAACCTTCCCCGAAGCGAACGCCGTAGTTCCCAGAGTGACATTCAACTCGTCCCCGGAGCCGTCATCATACCTGACCGTTTGTGTTGGGCCATCTGGAACCCGAACTGCATAAAGCGCCGTAGCTTTGGGTGGAGATAGTTCATACAACGCAGCGTCCATGTGCCACCTGAAGAACCTCGTGACTGCTGGGCTTCCGTTCTCATCTTCAACTGAGACTCGTGTTTTATGTGAATTTGCATGGTGTCCGTGTAGGAGGGTTACTTCTGGGATACCTTCGTGGTCGTGGATGGTTCCGTGGCCTATGACTTGGACTTGAGGGACCCGCGGAATGGTGTTGACGTATGCACCTATGACCCCTCTTTTTAGCGCGTCGGCTTCGTGCGTGTAATTCTCTGCTTGCGGGTCGAACGCCTGGAGTTGAATAATTCGCTCTAGCTGTTTGTTTGGTTTTACTTCTATGAACACTTACCTTGACCAAGGCCAGTTGCTCTTCGAGAGACAAATTAATATCTCGAAACAGAAGGAGATCGTGCTATATTTTTCACATCATTATCAAGGACGAGTATATTCGACTAATGGGGTGACCTTGTACAAAGCCTCCTCGACTTCCTTGAACTCTTCTGCGCTTAGGTTCCCCGGGTGGACACCTTTGACCTCTCGACCGAAATCTACAAATTTCTTCTGGTCTACGCTGGCGGGAAGAGTCAGGGGTACTAGGTTGATAGTCATTGCGACGATGAGGAGAGAATCGAGCTTGGACGTCTATTTATTATAGGTCTGTAAGGTGTACGTACTACACACTCCACCCGAAGATCGGATGATGCAGTCCGAATTCACTAAAGTGATAAACGATGAATGAGAAGCTTTTTCAAGCTGATAACGATGAACAGCCCTCAAATGATCGTACAAAAAAATCTGCAGGGAGACATGCAAATACCATTATCATTATAACTATTGGGAGGGAAATAGGAGTCGTGGTAACTGATCATGAATAGGAGAGGTCTATGCGCACACAAGAGCAGCCTTGCTGAGTCCAGTCAATCAAAGAGTCAAATACTACTGAATGTCAACAACACACCTCCGCAGTTTAAGCCCTTGGGTACCATCCTGGCTTCTCGATAATGCCATACTCTTTGAGTTTGTCGGTGAGTGCCACAAGCGTCTCAGGAGGTGGTTTACGTCCTGGATAGCCGACAACGAGGAACATCGCGTATCCATTGTTATATCCACTTGCCACCACTACCGTGGTCGTGCACTTGACTCGATGTATCTTTTGGCATATGCCTGATAGCTGCCATGCCAACCTGGCCCAATAAACCCTTCGCTTTTCGACTGGAGCTCCTTCAGAAGCTTTGAGCGTAACTTCGAGGTGATAGCGATGTTGGAGCCACTCGTTTGAGAGGGGAAAGCCATAGACGGGCGGGTGGTTAGCGTCACGAAAGGCAGCCATGTCTGCAGGCGGGCGGATACCAATGTACTGGGGCAAAGGTCCCTCATTGCTGGACGACATGTTGAAAACTAGGAAATTGAAGAAGCCTTTCCTTATATGATTCAACCATACCACGTGCTGGTGACCAGGACCCTGGTCTTAAGCGCTCCCAGTGAAAACGCGCTCACCGGCGGTCTGACGGACCGTGAAAGATGGTGATGGACACTTCTGGGCTGAGCTGGGAACCGAAGGGTATTGAGTATAGGGGAATTGTAATTGATTTTTCGCTAGATTCGTACGACGTAGAAGATAACTAGCAACAAAACATGCAAAACTATCAAGCAAACGAGCGAGTGAGGAACGCCTCAGGCGCCCCAGTCACTTTCTATCATCATCAAAAGAATAATTCACCGTCTTCCCCCTAAAAATCCCCTTTACTTTCTCCCCAAACGAGGCATTCCATTCACCACCCTCCACAACCCTCACCAACCTCCCAACCATCTTCCCAACCTCCTTTTTTTCAAAAACAACATCCCGACACGTCTGCATCAAATACTCCTTCACAACACCCTCAATCTCCTCCATCGATATCCCCGCCACCTCGCTCCAATACTCCAGATTCTTCACCTGGGGGTAACTGGAAGAACACAGAGCACGCGCAGCGTTGATGAACAACCCAGCCCACAACTTATGCGGATCAAACACGCATAAAAAGTGTTTGCTGCTCTTGGGATTGTCCAGGAATGATCTGCGCACGTTGTGTACGAGGATAAGCGTGCATGGGATGATGGAGAAGGGGAGGTTGGTGGAGGTGATGAGGTGGGTGATGTATTGCTCGAGGGGGAGAGATAGGAGGTTGTTAGGAGAAGAGCGGTAGGTGGGTACGAGGAGGGGACCCATGGACCTATAGAGGTATTTGGCGCAGAGACGTCCTGACGTCTCTGGCGTGAGTAGCGGAGAAGGAGGATAAAAAGCCCTGGGTTTAACGGGAGGAGGGGGTGAAGAACGAGAAGAGGAACGGTAATTGTTACCGTAAGGGGCAGGATAAGCAGCGCTTTTCCGACCTTTGTTATCAGAGGAAGAGTAAGGTTTTTGGTCCACTTTGGAGTCCCAACGAATGGTTGAGGCCCTCGGACGCGAGGAGGAGGTAGGAGAAGTTTGAACAGCAAGACTCACTTGAAGTGAACGCTGCTCGGTGGTAGCGGTGATAGTAGCAGAGATGAGAGACATGGTTTAGTTCCTAGGAGAGGAGATAAGTCCTCGAAATGTAAAGAGAGGAACGGGACGTATACGCACGATGATAAGATGGTATTCCGGCGGATAGGTGCAAGTAGGTTATAGAGTGCAGTTGGTTTGGTTAAAAAAAGTGTGTGTGATGATGGTGGTTTGGCAAATGCAGTTATATTTCTTACGAGGAGAAATGGGGGGTTATTTATGCACTTTGGTGAATAGGAGAGAGCGTGGGTTAGACTTTTGGCTGGGTTTAAATGGTTTGGAAAGGGGGAAAGAGAGCTGGTGGTGGAAGCGAAGGCTGGCTCGTAGTGACTAGAGGCATGTTCAGAAGCGTGATAGAGTTTGGGATTGAAGTACTTAGATAGAAGTTGGAGTCGATGTATGTGCTTCAGTCGGTCTTTGAGAGGAACATGTGCGTTCGTTCCCGGTTGAGACAAATCCCATTTCCGACAACGCTACCCAGCCACCTCATCCCAACCAACTTGTCGAACGATGCGCAGATGAATAAGTAGACGCCTTTGCCTGTGTTAGTTGTTCGTGGCGAAAGGCCTTGGCACACATGCGCAAATACTCAACAGGCATGACGTCTTGGATATCGTCCCGACTTGAAGCACGTTCAATGAAGCATCATCACACAATGAACGTTTCATCTCGTCAAGAATGGCGTAAAAGACGGAGACTTTGCGCTCCGGACGGAGCCGCCCAGCACCACATAGCACCGAGGGGGTGGCTGAGTACCTGCCGCTGAGCATGTCATCGGAAGAACAAGAGCTAAATGCGTCGTATGCGGGCTACCTCCCACCGCTTTACGCACGATACCGCTATAAGAACGTTCATTGACCACGTCAACTGTTGCCGTATTGTATTGTTATCTTATCTACGTAGCTGGAGTCACCCACCTTAGGAGTCACAACCAGGTGCTTGGTCCCCCCAACTAAACCTGTTCTTTCTTATCCGCAACCACAACCCACCCGACGTTCCGTCTTTCTTATATATATATATATTCTCCCGCTTACCCTTATCACCCACCCACCCATTCACTCACCCTAGACATGGCCAAGAAGAACTCCTGGACCACCGTCTCCCGCGCCAGCACCAAACCCCTCTCCACTCCTACTCCTACTCCTTCCCCTTCCCCCTCTCCTCCCCCAGCCAAAGCTAAAGTCGAAGAAGCCGAATCCATCCGACCCACCGCTTCCTCCCCCCTCCTCAACCCGAACCCAAAGGACCTCCGTGCATTCGAGCACGACAGACAACGCGTCAAGAAGGCCGCTGACCTCGCCAAGATGCGCGCGCGCAAAGCTGGTATCGTGGACCCCTCTTTTTCTTCTCGAGTGATCAAGTCCTCGAGGGACTACTACGGCTCCCTGCCTTCGCAGAAGGAGAAACTGTTGAGGGAGGAAGACATTGATGCGCTTGATGGCGTGTTTTCGCCTACGTTGACATTGCCATTGAATGGAACGAAGAAGAGGCGAGAGAGCCTGATTAGTACGCCTGTCCGAGTCGAGCCTGCGAAGAGGGAAGTCAAGTTGGAGGAATTGATTGTTACTACGCCGCAGAAGAAGGCCGCCGGTCGGAAGATGCGTGGTACGTTGGCTTCCGCTCTTGATTCAACAACGCTTACCTTTAATATAGATGGAGACTTTGAAGTAGTACCACACGTCCGGGCCGTCATCGTCCTAGACGATTCCGCGGACGTGCACGATATGGACGTGGATGAGGCTTGGGAGCATGTTACGCTCGACAACGACGATGATGAGGCCAGTTCGTCTTCGGACGGTGGGGAGCCTGTGTCGTATGCCAAGATTGCAGCTGCTGCGGGTCGCAAGTGATTCGTTGCCCCAACGTAGATGGGGTGCTCCCCTGCTGGACTATTGTTATGCTCGCCCCCGCCTCTTCGCCCAAGGACTACCCGTTCGATTCGATCCTTGTTGTTGACTGAAGATTGATTTGCTTGGTTTCGCGTTTTCGCTCGTTTACAGCCTACCCATACCCCTCCTTTATGTGCTTTGCCTCCTTATCTATGCGTGCAGCGACGCCAGCCCTCGGTTACCAGGTCTACTCCAGTCCTGTGTATCCCGGGTCGACTGCACGATTGTAATTTGTTATTTAACTGTACCAGGGAATTGTACAACCATTTTAATGTGTACGAGTGTAGACAGATTTTTTGATTACAATAGAGAGGTGCTTGAGCCTCGCGTGCTGGCCAGGATGTTATTGGACGATAATTGTGTTGATACAAAAGACCGAGTAGGAGGCTGAGATCCGTTTTGTGGAGAAACGAAGGAGATGAGAGGAGATGAGAGGTCGATTTACATAAATAAATACGATATCTGATCGATCGATCTTTCCATCCGCTTCGTCGGTGTTCAGAAAAGAAAAGGCGTCGGTCATTGGAGGCCTTGATGTGCAGCGGGGACAAAACAATTCTCGCTGCGCCGGGTGATTGTATTTACTCAAACCCTAAGAGAAAAACCCGGTGCCGCATTGCCGCCAAGTCAAGAGATAACAACACGTTGTCCGTATCCGACTCCGAGTCGTTGCTGGTCACTGGACATCATTGGAGCGCTTCCTACTCACGTTTCTCCCATCATCATCTATCTTCGTCCGTTGGCTGAGCAAAACCTTATAATTGCAACAGTTTGATAGGTATCTGAGAAACTTGTCTTTTTTGCCACTTACAACTACTAATATATGAATGAACGTCATGGTCAGCTGCGAAAAAAACAGAACAGGCGCGGGCGTCAATTAGAAAGAACAACCTCACGACAACTCGAAAATGGCCCCCAATTTCTTGTCAAGGTTCGCTAAAGGACCACCACCAGCGTCGTCTGCAGCAGAAACCCAGACTACCCGCGAACGATCACATTCCAATACACAGCGCTCCAGTTTCTCCCTATCACGCAGTCGTGCGCCCTCCGTGACGAGTCCCTCTCGTACCGATGTTCGTTCACCGCCCGAGTCGAGTAGTCTTGGTGTTGGGGCCAAGGGGGGATCACAGCAGCAGCAGCAGCCTCAAATCCCAGTAGTGCCAAGCATCATGACAACGGACATCAACCGCAGCAATGACACGCTCGAACCAAACGTTACCGTCGTCCCACCCTCTCCGCTTGTTTATACCGCTTCCATCGCTTCAGAGTCTGATTACGACGATCGCTACCACCCTACTGAACCTACAGCGGCAGCGCCGAATCAGATAACCACAACTACAAACGGTGCCAGTGCTCAGTCCAAATCCAAATCAGGCACCGGTGACTATTCGGCTCCCAGCCCTCGTACTCGTACGACTTCTACATCTGCACCATTAGTGGCTGCTGCGAGTTTGACTTCTGCCTCGCCTTCTCCCATTTCCGTCGAGGACGTCGACGTCACTCCTACTACTGCTAAACCTAGCATACAGCGTGCCGTCACCCCATCCTCGTCATCCACCAACCTTCGCGAGGCAGCAGCTAAACCAGAGTCCATGCCTAGTAGCAAATCCCTCTCTCCTTCTTCTGGACAAATACGCAAGCAGTCCTCGAACAGGTCGCTCAATGCGCCGGCGCCCATAACCACTCGAGCAGCCACTGCCCCACCAGATGCGTTTTCAGCTGTGGTGGTAGATGCCAACGGCGCAGTCACCATGACGCCCATCGTCGAGTCTCCCACTGGGCTCAAAGCGCCCGAGTTCCCCAGCATGATAACCAACGGGACCAACAACAACACATCCACACTGACAGTCAACCGCGACAACTCCGACTCTGCATCCATCATCTCCAGCAAAGGCGGCGAGAAAAAACGCCCTTGGAAACGAAGTACGACGAAGAAGCCTACGGGTCTGGCGAGCGCTATCGCTGCGACTGGATTGGCGATGGCGAATCCGTCGATGACTTATGTACAGATGAGCCCGCCGCCTCCTATCATGTCTCCTTTACCCACTTCGAGGAAGTCGTCGAACCCTGGTTCGCCCCCTTACATGTCCCGCTCGCCTGCGTCGTCGAGTAAGCATGTGAAATCGCGTTCGGCGGATATGTCTTTGTCGCCTGGGGGGAAGAGGGGTGCTGGTGGTGGGAAGGGGAAGAGTAAGACTGTGAACAGTGGGGCAATACGAACGAGCGTATCGGCGAACAGCGATGCTGCGTCGGAGTATGTGGGTGGTGAGGATAGACCTGAATATTATTCGGGGTTGGAGAGTAGCAGTGATGATGGATCTGGGTCGGATGATTTGGATGATTTGGACCTTGGGGAGGATGATATACCTGTTACGGGATTTGCGGTTGCGAGTAATAAGCGGAATGCGGATTTTCATGATCTTTTTTCGGGGATTCCGGAGGGGGATTATCTTATTGAGGGTGTGTTGTCCCTTTTTTTATTTTTTATTTTGTGAGGTTATTGAACTGAAATCTACTTAGATTATGGATGTGCTCTACAACGAGAGATCCTCATTCAAGGACGGATATATATTTCAGAAAATCATATATGCTTTCACGCCAACATATTCGGCTGGATCACAAACGTACGTTTCCTTCTTCCCCTTCACTCCTTCAGCCCTCTAAACCTTTCGCACAGCTCTCAATCCCAATATACGAAATCGTCTCCCTAGAAAAGAAAATGACAGCCTTTGTCATCCCCAACGCCATCCAAATCACCACCCGGCAATCCAAATACACATTCGCCTCCTTCCTCTCCCGCGACACCACCTTTGACGTCATCTACAACATCTGGCGACTCGCTCGACCAGACGATAACGGCAGCATACGCTCAAGCGGACGGGGGTCCCTTGATGGGCCTGTCTCCAGCAGCAGTACCTCTGGCCTTCCGTTAAATGCAGTGGCTGTTGTGGCTGCTAAATCGGGGGCGGGCCCAGCTGCTGTTGTTGAACATAAAGTGACGACGTGTGCGTGTAGTAAAGACGGGAACCATTATTCGGAGACGATGATGGAGAGTATCTTTCCCGGGACGCCGGATAGGATACATAATTTGATGTTTGCGAGTGGGTTCATCAAGGATTTTTTGGCTGTTGATCAGAAGTTGCTTGGTGGGTTTCTTTCTTTTCTTCTTCTTTTTGCGATCGTTCCGGCTGATGCCTTTTTTTTTTTTGGGTAGATCTACAAATGTCGGATTGGACACCGGTATCTGAAGGTTCGAAGCTGCTCACGAAGAACATGTCGTACATCAAGCCTTTGAATGGGAGTCTTGGGCCCAAGCAGACCAAGTGCGAAATCAAAGACGAGATGCTGCATGTTGATTTTGAGCAATATGTGACTACGCTCACTACGACCCGGACCCCAGATGTTCCTAGTGGTGGTGTGTTTTCGGTGAAGACGCGTACGTGCATCACTTGGGCGAGTGCGGTGTCGACGAAGGTGCTGGTTACGACGGCGGTGGAGTGGACGGGTAGGAGTTTTATCAAGGGTTAGTTTTCTTTTGTTTATTACAAGAGTGTGTGTGCTCATGAAGAAAACAATGTGTAGGTATCATCGAACGCTCAGCTATAGACGGTCAAAGAATCTACCATGCCGACCTTGAAAAAGCCATGCGCGCGTACATCCAAGAACACCAATCCGAATTTATCCCTGAAGGCGTCGACCCAGACATCGCGCTCGTGAACGTCGCCGTACCCGCCATCACCGAAGATATCCACGCAGCCGCCGCAGCAGCACTCGAACCGCTCTCCGAAAAACAGCGAGAACACGAGCGGAATCAACGCGGCTTGCAATGGGCTTGGGACACCTTTGACGGTGCTTACCAAGTCGCGAAACGCAGCACCAAGGGCGCGTTGGAGCTTGTGAGCGATGCGTGGGAGCAGAGCACGAGCACGACGATATTGTATTTCGTTATTGTCGTGCTGGTGTTTAGCAACTTGTATACCCTGCTGAGGATGGGGAGTCGGGAGGAGGCGGGGAGGAGGAAGGAGATGAGGAAGGTGGAGGAGAGGGAGAAGTGGGTGCAGAGTATTGTTACCGCTTTATGGGATGAGCTGGCGGCGGGGAAGAAGGAGGCGATTGGGATGTTACGTGGTGGTGCGGGTGATGCGGGTGGTGTGGTTGATGGAACCCCTTCAGCGGACACGGTCGCTCCTGGGAGTTGGATGGAGGAGGTGGCGCATTTGCATGATACTTTGAACACGGTCGAGCAGAGGGTCAAGGCGATTAGGGAGGCTTTGGTTGGGTTTAAGGGGTTGAATGCTATTGATTAATATGTGGGACCTGGGTCGCTCATTTTTTTGAGTGGCCTGCTCTTTTCCTCTAGGGATTCTTTGGAGCATTGCGTTTTGTACAGTATTGTATATACACCGACATTACCATTTACGAACTTGCGCTACATATATTCACGCTGTGTGTGTATAGTTCCTAGATTGCACACTGACAGTGTCAATACACTCATTAATCATACGTGATGACAGCGTCGGAATCCTTGAGAATAGAGTGAGAGTTTTCATCTTCCGATGACATTTGATAGAAGCACACGTCTGTTGAAATTAACCCGACAGGTACAATTAAAATACAAGGGCAGGACGTAAAAAGGAAAGAAAGGCTTCAGCCATCTCGAAGAGCAGCAGTGTCAAGCATCGACAGATTGGGATTATCGCTTCTTAACCGGTAGAGGCTAGCTCTGGAGCTAATCACGTCGTCGTTGTTACCAGCCAAAGAAAGCTGCAGAAGATGAAGGAACGTGTAAGCGTTGTGCGGTGTAATAGAGGGGTGATACAAAGGAAGGAAGAAGAAAGCAAGACGGACGGAAAGTCCAAATTCCAACTCTAGTTCTCGTCAGCTACGTGGCACACACGAAGAGCCAGAAAGCAGGCCTTGATAAAACCCAAGGGGCTTGAATTTTGAGGAAGGAGCGGCAGGTTGAGAAAGGAAGGACAGGGCGAAATAACTGTAAAAAATAATCCGTAAACAAGGGTTTAAAAAATCTTCTCTTTTTCTCAGTTTGTCATTACGGGGGTCATTGCATTTCGTGAGCAGAAGGAAATCACATCGATCGACGACCAAGGCCACAGAGGGCCAGAGCCGCCTTCAACATGTCGTCATCTTCTACACCGTTGGGAAGGGGCTGCTGCTTCCCACCAGCGCCGCCGCCACCTATCTGTTCCGCCCACCTCCTATCGTCCTTCCCCCACGTACTGGGTGGTGTGATCGCCTCGTCAGCCTCCTCGTCCGTCAAGTCCAGGTCTGTCGCTGACGCTTCCTTCCTAAGGCCTTGGCGCCGAGTCGTCCTGCCCCCTTTATGAGAAACGGGTGTGTCCCTCTCTGCTAGACGTGCAGCCGCACAGGCCCACTCTAGCGTGCGCCGTGTGCGCGGGTTCTTACCAAAGTCGACGTACTCGCGTGAGGGAGGGCTGGTGGGCGACACAAGTGGAGAAGAGGGCATGTTGTCCCATATGGCACCGTTGGGATTGCGTCGTGAGGGCGTACGGGCTGCTGGGGACCGCAGTTCCGACCGTGACGCGACGCGATCCAGAGAAAGACGCGCTGTGCATGTCGTTGAGCCGCTTCTGCTGCTGAGAGGTGGAGGAGAGGAAGATGGGACAGCACGGTTGGCATTGTTGGCTGCTGCTGCGGTGGATGCGGCCACTTTGCGCTCCGTTTGCCTCTTGTTCTGGAACCAGATAGTGACAGATTTTATTTCCCTGTGTAAATGGGTCGAGTGATTAGTGGCTGACAGTGCGTCGAAGACAGGTGGAACGGTGTACATTGACCCAGCTTTCGCGACTGCTTCGCGGTCCTCGCGCGAGGGGTGCGAGTTTTGGTGGAAGAGGTTTTCTAGCATAACGAGCTGGGCATGGGTGAACCGTTTTCGTGTCCTTCGGGTTGCGGTCACCGTGCTATTGCTCATAGTCTCGTCGGCAGAGTCAATGCTTGTAGTTGAGGATGTGCGGGACAGCGACGGGTGGGTGGCTTGCATGGGGGGCAAAAGAGGGAGGGGAGAAAGGGGAGCTGCTAATGAGCAAATAATGAAGTTGATATTTATGTCACAGATGTTGATGAAAACCAAATTCAACACGCGGTGCAGCGCGTTTCTGGTCACGTGAAGCGCGTCCAATCAATCATGTCACAAAAATCTATCAGGACGTCACTAGTTCAGGGAAAGAGTTCCAGGGATAAAAAAATGAACAGCCCTTGACGAGATGGAATGCGGCGGAGGAGAAGGAAGAGAAGATGCCAGGCCGCAGGGCCAACCATAACTAGGTACAACTCATTTCAAAATTTCCAGCTCAGAAAGAAATGTTGTAAACTGTTCTAGCTTCCTTGCAGGTGGGAGCGAAGTCATCAATATTCGCATGAACATGATGATGATACGCACAGTCGTGCTGGAAACAGAAGCAACCCACACGGGCTCGGCATTTGAGTTAATTATCCGAAATCCTTCCTTGCTTGAAAATACTGCATGCCCCATTGTTACAGACAAAGGAGCTCTTTGAGAGCAAAAACAAAGGTCTCCTAGTGCTGGACCCTTTCATCAATTGAAAGACAGGCTTGGGACGGAGTAAGCCGATTATGTCTCTCAGCTGAGAACGCGTGTTGTAAAATTTTCAGGAGAGATGTTGTCGCGGTGACAAAAGCACGGGTCCGGAAAGGCGCCAACTCCCCTATTTTCGGAAGGTGGGAAGAAATAAATGAGTCCAATGTTTGAACGATAACCATTCGGAGGTAATCTCAACAACGCGAGAGTCTCGGTGTGATCTATCATCTCTGTGTCAACTTCGAACAGTTGTTAAAAGCGGAGACAGCGGCGCCGTGTGGTTGACCAGCCCGGATCAGGAGGGCTACTGTAACGTCGCCAATGAAAAGTTTTATGGGGGTGAGAAGAAATAAATGAGTGTAATTAGCGCTATTGAAGTCGGTAAAAACACACCGGAAAGAAGTGTAAACATCGCAACCTGGTGTTAAACTTCGGAGATAAGTCTCATTGACATTCTCAACCAGATTTACTTGTGGAGCGCAATTACTATAACCTCCACGTCGAGGAGTAGAGTTCCACCAGAGGCCTCCGAGGAACGGAAAGTAGGTTTGGCAGTTGGCAGGGCCATTGTAAGTGGCACAGCGTCTAGGCCAAACTTCGAGCCTGGGTTACGAGAGACTCAAGAAAGTCGTTTCCTAACGCGGCATAGAAAAGCGTTGTGTAACGTGATACGATAACGGGGTGTATCAGACTCCGGTTGGTGAAACCCGAGAGGGACATGGTGTCCTTCTTTGACGTGTATCGTCACGCCGGTGGGTAAGGAGCTTTTGTAGGGTGGAAAAGAAGTGCCCTCGAATACTTCAAGGGGATGGGGGATATAAATACTGATGTCCGCATCTTCAAGGATCTGGCGGGCGTGGTTGTGGTGGTTTATAACGCAGCGTTTTGCAAGAAGGCGCCAGAAAAGGACAAGCTACGCGCATCTTGACTTGCGACCACCATTGCCTCTCCGAATCACCTCGCCCTTCTCCCCTTCTTAAAATGTAGGGAGACCATGGAACGCCATACCAGTCATCGTCGAACGCTTTACTTATCAAGCTTTCTTGGTTCTGTCACTTGACTGTCACTGGTAATCTTCTCAGAACGCCTCCTGACTATGGGAAAAGATATTATCGCCCACCTGTTCCTATTCCTATAAGTATATCAATCCCACATTCCTCAGTACCTCAGTCTTGGCGCGTCTTCCAGTGTATGTCAGGCGCTCAACTGATCATTTGTTCGACTTGAAATGGGTAAGATGATGTCCAGTGGCTTGCATTGAAATCATTTATGTTGTTTGAACCAGTGCTGCACGCGATGTTCTCTACCGTGGTTAAAGGTCGAGGTTGTTAAGGTTTTACAACCCATGACCGTGTCTTATCTGAATCTGCTTCAGGTCCGTCACCTGATCGGCCTTTCATTTTGCTTGGAGAACCATCTCAGGGTATCTTATCCACTTGTAAGGCCACAAGGTCAATCAGAACCTTGACTGTCCAGATCCAAGCCTTGCACGAAAAAGGCTGAGAACTATTTATCGAGAGATAAAGGTGCGGTACCTTTTTGACGTCTCTGCTTTCCTCCCACTCAACCAATGCAATCACTCGTGAAGGACATGGTTCCAGATGGTACTGTAATTCCGGGCACAGCGACCGCCATTCAAACTTCACCTGGAAAACATCTTCCAAAAGATTTCAATCACCCTTTGGACCCCCTAACCTCCGATGAGGTATCATCTTGCATACATCATTTGGAGTTCAAGTCGCTGAATACTCAGTTGTGTGTAGATCCCCGCTATCACGCTCGCTGTTCGGCATTACATTGCTGCGAAGACAGAGATTAAGGCCATCAAATTCATTACTTGCTCTTTGTTACCTGCGCCGAAAAGAGCAGTCTTGGCGCACCTTGGAATTCCCTTGACACCTGGGGGAAAACCCGAGGAGCCCGTTCCGATTGTCAGAAAGGCCGAGGTGGACGTATGTTTGTCTGTTTGTCTGTTATACAGGAGTCTTATCTTTCGTCGCTGGAAAGTTCATAGATGTTGTGAATGGGTACGCTACGGACTCGGACGTTCAAATGCTCTAGCCTCTCTTCATTCCTTATACAGCCGCTCCTATAACGCAATCTTGTCTTTGAGCGACCAGGCATGGAATATCGAAATTCTTACTCTTCTTCCAAAAGAAGTTCATTCACAAATTTCCGTGGAGGAGCTTCTTGCATGTGAAGCTGTGGTGAAGAACGACCCGAAGGTTCAAGCTCTCGCGAAGCAAGTCGGCAAGTCGTACTCCTCTATCTAACCCGTACATTGCTTGACCTCGGGTCTAGGCATCCTTCCTGAGCAAATATTTTGTGACGGGTGGTCAATAGGGTACGACGAACGGTTCCCTCAAAGTAGAAGGGTGCAACAAGCACTGGTGTTTGCTCGCTTTTCGCAACACGATAACCTTTATGCCCACCCTATGGTATAGTAGTATTGATCCTATCATCCCATCATGAAACCCAAAGCAGTCGCTTTCTAGGACTTTATCCCCATTGTCGACGTTCATAAAAAAGAATGCATTCACATCGGTGGGTCGTGATACACACTGGTTCTGCGTCGCTTTCTCATCGGTTTTCGTGTTCTAGACTTCCCCCCACGCTATGTTCGCACACCAGAAGGTGCCATAAAGCTCAGCACGGGCAGTACTGCTGCACCACCAAAGGACGCCGATGCATTGGCAGCATCTGGACGCGAGCGTATTCCACCTCCCCAACGAGCGTGGGACTTCCTGCCTGACTTGATGGCAGATACTGAAGAGGGTGGATATACTCAGAGAACTGACGTGAAACCGCTGCATGTCGTCCAGCCTGAAGGTGTGAGCTTCAAGATTGACGGGCATGTGCTAGAGTGGCAGAACTGGAAGATGCATGTCGGTCAGCCAGTTCTTGCATATCAGCTTAGTTAGAGACTAATCAAGAGATTATCAGCTTTCAGCCATCGAGAAGGCATCGCCTTGTCGACGATAACGTATAATGACCATGGGGAAGTGAGGCCCATCATGTACCGACTCTCTTTGGCGGAGATGGTTGTACCTTATGGCGCACCAGAACATCCACATCCAAGAAAGTTTGCCTTCGATTCGTGAGTCTTTCTGCAAGACCATTAGCTGCTTCTAACAAGTCTTGCATAGGGGGGAATATGGCATGGGAACGATGGCAAACGAGCTTTCGCTTGGTTGTGATTGCCTAGGGCAGATACACTACCTGGTATGTTGGATTGTGTGTGAATGAACTCTGAAAACCGATGTCAGTGATAGCCAGGTGCATACGTCGCCCATGACGGGAGTGCCTTTGTCATCAAGAATGTAATCTGCATACACGAAGAAGACGCTGGCGTCCTTTGGAAGCACTCAGATTACCGCCCCGGAGGCAGATCGCATACTGTACGAAGACGCAGGTTGGTGATCAGCATGGTGTGCACATTGGCGAATTATGGTTTGTCGTCAATCTCCCTGCCTTGATGATTTCTATTCACTCATGCGCTTGACAGAATACATTTGGAATTATTATTTCCACCAAGACGGTAGCATCGAGTTCGAGATCCGACTTACGGGAATTTTGCAGACCTACGTCGCGAACAACGGCGAGCCCAGCCCACACGGCACGTTGGTGGCTCCCAATATCAACGCACACTACCATCAACATATGTTCAGCATTCGTGTTGACCCAATGATCGACGGGCTCAATAATACCCTCATCGAATCGGATATCATGCCCTTGCCTGATGCACCTACAAAATCAGCTGCGAACTTTGCCGGAAACGCCTTCATCTCCGTGGACAAAGTCATTGAAAAGGAAGCAGGGCGGGCATATGATTATGCTAAAGAACGTAGGTGGAGGATTGTCAACTCGGCCAAGAAGCACTACAGTTCGGGCAGAGACGTTGGGTATGCCCTCGGTGTGAAAGGAGGGGCGACGCCTATGATGGTTAGGGAGGATGGCTGGGCTGCTATTAGGGCTGCTTTTTTGAAGAACACGGTTTGGGTGTGCAGAGACGTCGAAGGTGAAGGCGGGAAGTGGGGCAGCGAGCGGATGTGGCCTTCTGGCAAGTATGTTCCGCAAACGAGGAGCGAGCCGGAAGTTTCAATTGGAAAATGGGTGGAGGCGGAGTTGCCTATCGTCGATGAGGATATCTTAGTTTATTTGACAGTTGGTCAGTACTTCTCTCCTCCCTCCAACCTGTCATGTTATTCAGTTCCTCGCTTTTAAAGGAACCACCCACATACCCAGACCTGAGGATTGGCCTGTGTACGTACTTCCCGTCACTTTCTCTGTCTTTCAATCCTTACTAATGCTTATATTGGTATGTTGTTGTAGTATGCCTGTGGAACACCTGAGCGTCTCGTTCAAACCCACGTCCTTCTTCAAATCTAATCCGAGTATGGACGTGCCTGGCACGAGGGACCCTCTGAGTACACCAGCGTTTGGAAGCTCAACCCCGTTGAATCCGAATGGAACATGCAACTGTCAGCGAAATGGTTCAGTGACATCGCAATTGTAACTTTGTAAGGAACGCCCTCGACAGATAACGGACTGTTCTGTATACCTTGTCACTATGTAGCCCATCACTACGATAATACATATTTTGAGCTTTGTAAACTTTTGCTGTTCTCTAGAACCTCATTTACGGTCGGTCTGCGGCCCGGGGTGAAGAGACGAGACAATGATATCCTCCTCATCTCTCTTCCTTCTCTTTGTCTACGTGATCTCCGCATTGGGGAACACGGAGATCGTCAATTTCATAGCGACAGAAGAGAAAAATGTCGACCTTGCTTTCGTACCGAACTGGTCAGCACACAAATCATTAATCCGCCTTCTGCTATGAATGACACGTCTTCAGGCCAGTTTTACGACCTGGGGAGTCGCTGCTTCGATGGAATGTAACTGCATTACCCCTGGGCACCATGATTTCGAAAGATTCGCCCCCATGTGCAGATCTAGAGAGCTGGAATAGTCGTCCAGACGCGCCAACGGCATGTCCTAACCAACTGTGGGTCGTTCTCGAGACAGATCACAACGACTGGAAGTCATTCTCAAAGTTTACTCTTCGTTTATCATGGGCGGCCTTCGTAAGCTCTTCATGATTGTTTACTCCTTCGTTATCTGAGGACATTCATAGCACCCAGTTGACGTGTACATGAAGATATCCGACCCAGCTACTATATCATCATCCATCCCCGCATTGCCCCACCAACAACCCCAAAAGACGCGTCGGAAGTACGCGCGAATACAGCTAGTGTTCACTGGAGTCCTCACTCCTCGCGCTAGGCCACCACCACCAGAAGCTATCACTCGTATCATTCCCATCTTCTTGAAGCTAGAACCGTTGTATTTCGGTGTTCTGCCAGAGTCAATCATCCCTGTGATTTGGTTGATGATTCCTGTGGTCATTATTGGTACGGTCGCGGCGTCGAAGGCGAACAAGTATTTCCAAGGCGTCGTGGAGGAGGCGAAGAAGGAGCTGGCTGCTATGAAGGCACAGAAAGTAGATTGAAGTTGGACTGAAGGATAATGACTTTGTACTCAAAATGTTGAGGAAGTGGACGACTGTCAGCTTCTTTTCGCCCTTTGATGAGGTTTCCGAGCTGCAAACTGCATATATGAGCTTGTCTGCTCTTAAAGCATTCACCAGATGTCCATGTTAGCCAGAGAGAACTCCAATTCATTGTTGGAGTCGATGGAGACTTCGAAACGGGTAGTTGCGGTATGTGGTGTGGTTACGTTCCCCGTTTGCACCGTCTGCGACGAGAGAGAGGCGGGGTGAGTTGAGATAACTGCGTTCTTTGGGAGACATAACAGCCAGCGACTATGGTCCTTCCAGTTTCGTATGGTTGTGTTAAATGGTTTTATGCATTGTCAATCCGGTCACCCCACGCACATACGTACATAGATATGTGGTATCGTAGGGAATCATGAGTGAAAACCGCTAATTTACGGCTCTGCTCACTGAAAAGTCAACGTCAGAAATAGGGTTGAGTGAGGATACGTGGTTACTCAACGGGCTGGCTGCTTTTTGATTCGGGAGAGACAATCCTGGCGGAAGGACACACGCCAAGCATCAAAAGCTGAGATTTTTTCCAGTTACTGGCATTGAGGCCATTCCCTTTCTCTATCTTCCAGACAGGCAACTGACTCTTCTGCTCCGGGATGTCGTCAGGACCCATGTCCTCCTCTTCATGATCCTGAGATGGTGTCTGTCGAGATGCTGTCAATCTAGGCCGCACACCAAGATTTGAGCACAGAATTTTATATTTGGATCGGATCTGGCGCAGGAGTTTTGAGATGTCCACATCGGACGCCGCATCAGTAGCAGATGGGTTGACGGTCGGGAATTGGGAGATGAGCTCGAGGAGATTACGAATGTGTGGTATTGAACGGCTAAACTCATCTCAGGCTACGGAAGCTAGAAAAGATGAAGAGACGAACTGATCTTGTCTTGATTGTTTTTCATGTATAGCTCTCCAAGTCAATGCAAAACCTTCGTAATACCCCAGCTCTTCCCACATTTCGAATCCTTTTTCTCTGCCCAAGGCCCTGCCTTCAATCAAACCGTGGATACGACCATGCTCAAAGCCATCTTGGAAGCCGGAGTCATAGAAACTAGAGAGAGTTATTGGCTCAGAATTTGATTTTGCATGAGAAGGCCCGAAGCAGACGTTTGTTCAACGTGGATAAGAGACTCAAGGTCAAAATCTTTGTCCATTGAAAATGAATCCAGGTTGGAGCGATGCGTAATGGTTACACCTCCGCGAAATCCGCTAAGAGTTGGCGATCACGTGATTATCTAATTTTGACTTTCTTATTACTCCTCAAAAGGATGAGCGTAGCGAAATAGAGCGAAATCCTACCCATGGCTGGAAGACCTGTCAGTCAACAGATATCCGAGCCGGGCCCTTGCTGACCAGCTCAGGGCTCAGGGCTCAATGTTCAACGTTCAATTTTGGAACCAAGCCAAAGCCGGGGGATATGGGCCGAGCGCGCCTAACACTACGCCTCTGTGTGGCGATGGTGTGAACTGTTCTCGCTGCGAGGCTGTGGCTTCTGACAGTTGTCATTCCGAGAACCGTGGCGTACTAATCTGCGAACCTCTCTTTCACCCATTCCTTGCATCCTCCTCCAACCTTTTCTCCTCCTGAATGGCCTCTCAAACTGTGTGTCTTCCCACATCTTGCAGGGTTTGATTCATGCTAATCGTGTCTCTCGCACTTTCTTCGCAGAAAGTGCGTATTCCCACTTTTGAAGCGCTTGATTCGTGCTGAGCGTTGCTTTGGCACGTTCTGCCTCTCAGAAAGTGTGTCTTGCTAACTGTTGATGTGCACGGTGATTCATGCTGAGCGTCACTTTGGCACTCCCTGCCTCTCAGGAAGTGCGTCTTCCTGCGACTCATGCTGACCGTGACTTTGATACTTTCTGCCTCTTAGCAAGTGCGTCTTCCCACCCTTTCAAGTGCGCGATTCATGCTGACTGTGACTTTGATACTTTCTGCCTCTCAGTCTGTGCGTTTTCCCCCACCTTGTGACATGCTTGATTCATGCTGATCGTTGCTTGGGCACTTTCTGCATTTCAGAGAGTGCGTTTTCTCACCTCTTGAAGTGTGAGACATACTGACAGTCACTTTCGCCCTTCTTTCTGCCTCTCAGCCTGTGGGTCTTCCCACCTTGTGATGTGCTTGATTCATGCTGACCATTGCTTTCACCCTTCTTTCTGCCTCTCAGCCTGTGGATGTTCCCCTTCTTTCTGTGGGTCTTCCCACCTTGTGATGTGCTTGATTCATGCTGACTGTTGCTTTCACCCTTCTTTCTGCCTCTCAGGATCTTCCCCTTCTTTCTGTGGGTCTTCCCACCTTGTGACGTGCTTGATTCATGCTGACTGTTGCTTGGGCACTTTCTGCATTTCAGAGAGTGTGTTTTCTCACCTCTTGAAGTGTGTGAGTCATACTGACAGTCACTTTGGCACTTTTTTGCTCTCAGCCCGTATGTTTTCCCATCTCTTGAAGTGTGCAATTCATATTGACCATCACTTTGGCACTGTTTTCCTCTCAGACTGTGTGTCTTCCCAATGTTTGACATGGTTAAATCATGCTGACTGTTTCTTTGGCACTTTCTGCCTCTCAGCCTGTGTGTCTTCCCACCTTTTGATGTTCTTGATTCAGCCTGACAGTTGCTTTGACATTTTCTGCCTCAGCCTGCCAGTGTGCGTTTTCTCACCTGTTGAAGTGTGTGAGTCATACTGACTGTCACTTTGGCACTTTTTTCTTCTCAGCCTGTGTGTCTTCCCACCTTTTAATATGCTTAAATCATGTTGACCATTATGCCTTGGCACTTTCTGCCTCACTCAGCTTGTGTGTCTTCCCACCTTTCCTGCCTCTTGAAGTGCATCATTCATAATGACCTTTGCTCTGGCACTTTCTTTCACTCAGGTTCGCTTTTTCAGGAATCCTTTCATTAAGCCTACAAAGGATTCAAGACACCCCAGCCCAAGCTCAACAAGTGCCAGAGATGTTGATTTTACACATGGGAAAACTGGAGCAGTGGAGGATAACAGTGTCTTCAAGATTGTGCAAACTGTCGAAATGAAGCCTGCAGCTGCTTCTGCCAGCAGATGGTCAGATGAGTCTGTACCACCCAACAAGAAATTGCCCACCCCCATCTCACTGCTTATCCCTCTACAAAAACAAATTCTACTGCCCCCTTCCTCCACCCAGAGTTATCCACTGAGTTTGGATCCACAGAATCACCAATTCGAAATAGCAGACATAACACCATCTGTGGTGATTGACCAACAACCTTGCCTTGTCTCTCCCCAATGTTCAGTTACGGTCCTTGTTGCAAGTGATGCTAAGTGCCACCTTCAATCAAATTTGCATGCCCTGGAGAGGCTTCTCACAGACTTTGGGGTGCAAAGGGACTTATGGATGGCCCAGGTTGGGTTTGATGAAGAGCTGCTCTGTGGTGGCAGTGGCTATGTTCAAGAAGTATTGATTACTATCCTGGAAGACCTCAATATTGAAGGTGACTACTCAGTCATACAACAAATTGGCAAGATCTTGTCACCTTTCCCTGGGGTTGTCCGAATGCCACAGTGTTTCTTTCGAACACCAGTCTTTAAACATGATGGCACAGTTTGGGAAACTTACAACGATTTTGTTCGAGATCATGTCAACACCCTTGATTCATTCGAGTATGACAGCATGAGACGTCTTTATATGGCAACTTCCCAAGAGGTTGAAGAGCCAGCAGCCGATCAGGAGAAAGGATCATCAAAGGAGAAAGAGTCATCAAAAACTGAGGGCAATAGTACAGCAACCACTTCTAACAGCAGTTCTGCTCATACAACTGGTGGTCGAAACCGTAGCAAAAAGGCAAAGGGTAAAACACCAGAGGATCCTGAGCAGGAAAATTCCAGCGACGATTCCGATGACTCCCATGATCAGGACCCACATGCAGGGACAAGTCCAAGGCATAGGCCTCGCATCCAATTTGAGATTATCACCGAGATTATGGGTCAATCTCTACGTGAAACTTTAAAGATAGCTGGTGCTTTCACATTTCAGGTGTGGGGTGTTCTTTCTTTTTCTCAATAATTTCAATGTCGCTGATATCAGTGTCCTTCCTTGGTGTCATAGGTGGAACCAAAATCAGACAAAAACCCTTGTTCCACATCAAATGTCGAGTTCTTGAGCGTTGATCTTCAAGGGCCAGATACTGGCATTCAGCGACACTACGACCTCCAATATGTGATGATCTGTGTTGACAGTCATGATCCTTCCTCCTATTCAACTGTTCAACAACCCCTCGACACACCACTGTTTGCAGACAAAATCAAGGAAGGGAAAAACAATAAGGGAATTGCCCAGAGCTCAAAGTCTGCTGGTCTTCAAGCTTCTGTCAAAAATCTCTTTGGATTTAACTGTTCCTATAGTCACAACAATGGCACTGAGGTGGCGACAACTTCTGAACGGACGAGATTCCGGAAGCAGATAAGAAAATGGAATGAAGAAAACATCGTCAAATTGACATACTTTGGAAGCAACAAGGAATCCCTTGGTAGCTTGAACCTCCCTCCTGATAGTTCGGAATTGCCCATTGTCGACTACCACCATCCAGGTCAAAAAAATGAAGGAACACCGCCAGAGGAAATGACTGTCAAGCTTTCTTCCTTGTGGGTCACCAGGGCAAAGAATGAGGGAGCAGAGGTTGGCAATCCAGAAACTTCCAAATTTTCTATTTTTTCCAGAAAGAAGGTGGAGCCAGTTCCAATTTACACAAACATTGTTCCATGTGTGGTGATAGACTTCCAAACCACTCTATTGGACTGGACCTTTGTACGGAGGAAGCTCTCACTTGCAGTTGGTGCTGACACTGCACAAATTGAACAGGCTGGAGAGGAAGGTGCTGGAGAGGAGTGTATCCATGTTATACCATCGACATGTCGAAGTTTGACGGAGCAAAGGCCTTTGGAATCGTTTGAGACATAACTGAGACAATATGACTTGTTTGCAATCTTCAATTGTTTTTCCTTTCTTTCAGTCCTACTTACATCGTTACAGTTGCTTTTGCTTTGTGGTTTAACTTTCCCATTGTATGACACTGTATTTTGCACCCTCGAGTACAGGCCTTGTAGTAATATGTATGTAGATCCGGCAAGCTCTGGAATACTTATATGTATGTGTCATTTGACCATGGGTCATATTGGGTACAGATCTACTCACCTTTGGGTAAAACAGTTTTAATGTGCTGAAGTAACTCTCCACTTGGTGCATTCAAGAATGATGGAGGAGATTGTACTTGGTCAATGTGCCGCTGACATCACAAGAACACCCCGTGAATGGGTGTCAGTTTATTTTCCTACAAAAAGCACTGTCACCTGTGTGCCCAGGCTCTTCAGTCTTCTCATTGTCTCTCATTCCTTGGGAGTTTACCCTCTTCAGTGGGTGGGCTTGACTTCCTTGCTAGTTCTGCAAGAGCTCCCCAACCTCAACCCCCACCCCGGACATGTCACATGATGTAGCACATGTAAGGAACGGTCACATGTACTATTACCTAGTATATAGTCTAAGTGCAATTTGAAGGTTGAACTACATAAAACAGAGCGCGTACACTGCACACAGCTCGTAAGGGTACCTAGTAATAATAAAAAAAGATGTCTACACGTTCCGGCCCCGGGAAGCAGTGTTCACAATTTAAATCCTTCCCCCTGGGTTAACTCAACAAAACCTGTGAAAAATGCGGAAGCAGAAAGGAGGAGAAGAGTTTGTTGAAATCAAATCAGCAAGCGTCAATTCTTCGTGATCAAGAGAAACAGGGGAGTAAGATTTCCGGTTGTCTCTGGAGGTGACAGAGGCAAACGTATGAGTAACTACAGTACAAGGCCTCGTATATATATGTAGACTACGAAATATAAGGGGGTAAATGTGAAATACCCCTATGGAGCCACGGAAACAATCAATGGAAGGAATGTACCTGAAATCCAACTGAAATCCAAAGATGGGGCGCATTGCACATGCTTGTAAAGCTCCCGAAATTCCAACAGAGTTCACATCTTCAGGTCCACCTTCAACTTGCAGGAAGTGTCTCGGCCGTGAGCATTGATTTTTTCATATCCAAGCTAGCCAGCAAGCGTCGCCGACTTCGGACTTGTGTGATATTTTGTTGAACACGTCGTGCACAGCGTCGAGGTCAAACAAGATCAAATAAATCAAACGCTGAAACTAAACTACGATCGATTATGCATAACCCTACATATCTTACCCTAACTCGCTCCGTTCATCTATACACAATATATATCCTTACTGAGGCGTAGAAACTTCGTCGAAATGACATTTAAATGTTACTTTGATGGTTAGATAAGATATCAACAAGTCACGTGATGCCTCCGGGGAGGGGTTGAGGTTGGGGAGCTTTCTGCACGGCACCTACTACTGGAGGTCCTAATACTAAATCCATCGAGCAGCAAGCATATCTCAAGAATTACCTGGAATCGAAGGTGTGGAGTGCAGGTGCTGAACCAAAGGGCCTCTGCTGACAGTCTCTCGGGTAGCAGTCATAGCAAACGTAGCTGAGCCACGTCAAGTCCCAGCACCCCTCAATCGCCAAAGTCAGAACACTATCATGCGACCTCGTTTTCGTCTTTACCACCCATCCGGCGTCATCATTTGTCTCACTCAACACACACATAGACTTGGGTGAGACCTTTGCATAACTTTTCTTCCACATCGGTAGTTAACGATCCTACCCAAGGATAGCTCTACTCAGCTCCTTTGAAAGTCCCAGCGTATTCTCACGCAGTCCCTTCACCACTTTCGCCTCTTCGCCTCAGACTCCCTCGACACACAGTGATCGAATTTCGCGAAATCTCACTGAAAGAATCAAGTTCACCGACTCAATGATGTTCGCTTTGACCCAGCATGTTTTACCAAGTCCCCTTTGCCAATCATCGCTCATTATCGCGGCTTCATCCTACTTTCATCCACGTAGCATAGGAGCTGATGGTGATGACGAAGCAGTGTCGATTATTCATGAAACCTGATCTTGCTACGAAGGAGTGGCGTCTGCTTTCAGGCTATGTCATCCAGCCAAGGGTGACTACTCTTTGCCCTGGGTCTCGCGTTTTGTCTCTGTCCAGCTGGGTGGAAAAGGGCTGTTTCTGGATTTTCAGGGTGATCGCGAAGGCGCTCGACTTACGGGGGAGCTTCACGGCCCGGGGCCCATATCAGATTCCCTTCTAACGACATGTGGAGCTGGGCCATGAGGGTGAGAGGCGGAGAAGAGAACAGATTGCTGGGAATCCACCGCTTGCCCCTATGTTCGTCCTAGTCAACTCATACCTCCTCTCTTTGCTGACATCATTTTTCCAGAACCTGAACCTCAAAAAGAGAACGACTACTGGGAGTTGAGATGATCGGTGAAATCCTCGACCGATTTTCTTGCGGAGACATACTAGCCAGCGACTATTGCCCTCCCAAGTTTCGTATGGTTACGTTAAATGGTTCTCAAATGGTTCTATGCATTGACAGTCCGGTCGCCCCACTTAAATTCACGCAGATATGTCTTATTGTATGGAATCATTAGTGAAATCTACGGTCTCCTGAAAATGTGTAACAGCAAAGATGGCTCTATACATCGTTGTTCAATGAAAAGTCAACGTCAGAATTGTGTTGAGTAAGTATACGGTTTGCGCTTGCCAACTGCATGTCTGATTTTTTTTCTGGTCTTAATGCATTCGCCAATTGTCCACGCGCGATTTGCTAGCGTTTACACACGCAATGTATGCATATAAATCGATTACTGAAGTCCCAACGTAGTAGAGTCTAAAATATCCAACAGTTCCGTCCACTCCTCGTGGCACTATCCTCTTCCAGAACTTCATTTTCTCGTATCACCTTGAGGAACACACTTTCAAGCGTAGCCTTCTCCACAGTATACTCCGTAAAATCATCATGGCTAGAGAGAGTGTTGAAGAGTTTAGCCAGAGAGAACTCCGATCCATTGCCGGAGTCGATGGGGACTTCAAAACGCGTAGCTACATCGTCCGCCATGCGGGAGCCAGGGAAGAGAGACATGAGTGTGCGGGCTTTGACGACCTCTTCGCGTGTGCGGCAGGTGAAGTGGACCTCGTACGTAGCGTAACGAGCGGATAGGGATTCGGTAGTGCCAACGGCTATAACGATATGAGCGAATGTTCGAGACGTCATTGTTCGTTTTCTCACCTAGAAGACGTTTTGCGAGGATTCCAACTCTATTGGCCAGAGCTGATGCCTCTTCCATTGAATCTACAAACAAAACTTGTAAGAGCGTGCTGCATGATCCGCGCAGAGACCACATACGTGTTGTGATAATGACAGCTTTGCCAATTGATACTTTGCGTAGAGTATGCCACATATCTCGCTTCATCTTTGGATCGATTCCCGTTGAGAATTCATCGATGAGGATGACAGTAGGGTTTCCTAGTCAAACACAAATCAGCCAAGGTAAGAAATAGAATCATCAAGAAGCATGGACGGACCTATCAGAGCGATAGCAAGAGAGAGCTTCCGCTGGTTTCCGCCAGATAATTTACTCGCCAAACGGTCTGCATATATGCTGAGCGCAGTCCCTTGCATAACTGCTTCAACACTTCCATCCAACTCTGGGCCTTTCGAAAGCCCTTTCAGGCGCCCGTAGATGATCAGATGTTCTCGTACAGTAAGCTGGGAGTCGATAGCCGTGAATTGAGGGCAAACTCCTAATGCAGAGCGTGCAGTTCGAGGATGCCGCACGACGGATGTGCCGTTGATAATGACATCACCGACGTCTGGAACCACGTCTCCGCCTATACGTTTACTCAGTACCTGTTGGCAAGGAAATGGAAGGGGTAATGTACTCACGAATAATGTTGAAGGTCGTCGTTTTCCCAGCGCCATTCGGTCCTAGGAGTGCAAAAACGGTGTCGCGAGATACCCCAATACTGACATCGTCTACAACCTTTTGGCGGTTGTACGTTTTTGAGACGTTGAGTACACGAAGAGAATCGTTAGAATTCTGAGCCTCTTGTGCTGCGGCGACGACGTCCTCCTTAATTGATTTAGGTGTTTCGTTGCCTGATGATACTAGCCTGCGCGAGCGGAACCGAGTACCAGAGTCGACCCAGACCAGAATGGCAAGCAAGATGAGGGAGTAGACGATGAGATATACAATTGGACCTCCGTATCTCTTGATGGAGCCCATCGAGGACAGAGTGACGACGTTGTTGCCATCGCATAACAAGGAAAAGAGGTTGACAGAGACAAAGGCCGCACGTAGCTGTAAAGGGATTCTCATTGAGCCTGTCTCAGCATCACTGGGTGTTCATCAACTCACAGGACTGGTAACTGGAGCGACGATTGAAAGTGTGAAATGACAAATGTTTATGAGCCAATTGGCTTCTGATGTTTTCCCGTATGTCAAAACGAGAAGATATGCAGCGGTGTAGAGCTGTAGATGTTTAAGTAAAAACCATGGAACAGCGATGTAGAAATGAAAAATCTTACAATAAACATGATAAACTGATACCCAGCAACCGTAGCGAAAGCGGCAAGTGGGGAGGCGACCATCAATGAAACACAATATGAAAACAGAGCACCCGCGATGCCATAGAGTACAAGTACAACCCACTGTAAGAGGAGAAAAGGTAAGCCTCGTACACTCTTTAGAAAGGCGAAAAGAACTGACAAACAAGCCAAGACCATGGAACTGATTTGATGCAGTGGCGAATACAATAATAATGATAGTCGAGAGAATGACAACAGTGACGGTATCGAACATGAGATGCCCAAGCCACAAACCGATAGGATCCGCTAGCCCGTTGGAGAGTTGCATAGCTTGAACAGAAGATCGTCTCTCCCTCGAGACGTAGAGTGCGAAAAAAGCAGGGTATACAGCCTGACAAATCTCCATTAATGACTATCGATTACATACACGAAGAAAAAACGCACCATAACAGCTCCAAAAAATCCAATCCACTTCAAAGAAAAGAGCGTACCAGCAGCTATAGGAGGAAACGCCTCATACGCCGCACGAATGATAGCCGGCGTCCTCGCAGAGTTTCCAGTAGAATTCAGAGCGCGATTATAAAAAATATTCGAAGCCAAATTCAACAACGTAGGCCCATTCAACCCGGGGGGCGTCGCCTCCCACGCAATCAGCGAATTCCCAGTCGACAAATCCAAAGAAATTCCACCGAGAGAAAGATTCCGGTAATTCTGAGTGATATCATTGACAAATGTGGTATTATCCGTAACGTCCGTGACGCGCAGATACTGGGTAGTGTTGCCCAGCGTCATTGCGATGCCAGGGGGAGAAGTTAGCAGGCGAGAGAAAGGATTCAAGGAGAAGAATGGAACGATGGGAGAGTTGGGTAGGAAAAGGGGAAGGGAGAACGACTTGCCCACGTGCCTAGTGCAGCTAGTCTGTCTGCCACTCATTAGAACGAGTGGAATGGTTGAACCAGAGACTGCGACGAGGATGGTAAGTAGTGGCGTTAACCAACTTCGTCTGGCTATGAGCACGCGTTTGTAGAAGATGGTGAACGCTTGTCGAAACGGGGAAACAGGCCTTCCGGTTGCCAGCACCATTCCAGGAGAGTCAGATTTCGAGGAGGGAGGGACAACTTGAAGGGTATCCCGAGAAACTTTCTCGTCGTCCTGTTCACCTGAATCTGGAAGTTTGTGCTTGCTCATCAAATCCAAAAAGATATCCTCAATAGTCGTCCCAAGGATATCATACGACGCTATACCATGTGTGCCCGTCTCGGTATCAAGCAGCTGTAGGACCTGCTGAACAACAGCAACGTCCCTCGTTTTGAGATGGTAGCAGAATTGATGCGGAGAAGACATGGAAACTTCCGTTTGTGGGAGGATAGCCCGGATATTATGGAGCAGCGCGTCTCTTGACGCAGATGTATCTTTTTCTCCATCGTCTGAGTGGGCAAACAAAACTTGGACGGAGTACCCTTCTCCTAAATCGCGCTTCAAGGAAACGGGCGAGCCTGAGGCAACAAGCTTCCCTGGGGCAGCCAAGATAGCGATGTGGTCAGCTAGTAGGTCTGCCTCATCAAGGAACTGGATGACAAGGGTTGTTAGAACGCGACGAGAGCAAGAGAAAGAACGACATACGTGCGTAGTGAAAATGATCGTCCGATCTTCCCTGAAAGACGTCAGCGTCCTCCACAGCGCCCGCCTACTCAGCGGGTCGACTCCAGAAGTGCACTCATCAACCAACACAACTACAAATCCCAGTCAAAATCCACACCACATACAAAAAACGAGAAGAAAAAAACCCACTCTTAGATCCCCCAAGAAGCCCAATAGCCAACTGCAGCTTCCTCTTCTGTCCCCCAGAAAGCGTAGCAGCATTCGCATGTATCTTCCTTCCCAAATCACAATCCCTCAACAACACTTCCAGATCCTCATCAGCAGCCGAACTGTTCGTCCACTTCACAGCTTGCCACACCCTCAATGTCTGGATACACGTCAGTTCGGGGAACAAGACGTTTTTCTGGGGTACGAGCCCGATGGTTCCCCTTGGAGGACGGGAAAGGCCACCTTGGAATGTGATTGTGCCGCGTGTGTGACTCATTAAGCCGCCGATTACGGAGAGGGCTGTGGATTTCCCGGCACTGGTTTTTTTTGTCAGCTAGGTAGGTGTGCAGGAGGAGAGGGGCAGGACGAACCCATTTGAACCGAGAAGGACGAAGATTCCTCTTTTCGGTATCTCCAAGCTCAGGTCTGCTATGGCCGTTACAAGCCCTTTGGAGCTGAACGTCGATGTTTTGAAAGTCTTGTTCAAGTTTTTGATGGATATGGCTATATCATCATCAATGGGGTGTGTCTGGGTGTTGCTTGTGCGCGCTGCGGAGTTCCAGAATTTCAATTCTGCTTTTATGGACGGTTGGCGTGGTTCGTAGAGTCTGCGCTCGAGTAGTACCGCGAAGTGCGGCCACAGGAAGATGTCGATCTGTCATAAAAGTGTCATTAAAACGTGCATATACACAAAAAAAGGAAAGACTCACAATAGCAGCAATAATCAAAGGAAGCAACACCAATTGTTTATCAGGATCCCCCTTCAACACATTCGTCGCCAACTGATGATTCTCATACCCACATATCGCCCTAATCGCAAAAATATAAAACCCAGGCGGAAAGATGATCGTAAAGATGAACGCAGCGCCGGTCCCAGCCGATTTAAACACCAACGCAATAATCGCCAAGAGAATCCCCAAAAACGTCGATACGACAGCCGCGAGTTGTGGACTCTTGCCAAAAGGGGCAGCGACGAAGAAGGACCAGCTTGCGAGTGTCAGTCCGAGGAGGAGGTGGACGATGAGGATGAGTCCCGTGTTGGAGGCTGAGAAGATGCGGTAGCTCCATGTTAGGCCGACGATTATCCATGCGGGGAGGTAGGTTAGGGATAGACTTAGGTGCCATGATCTATGTGCGAATAGGGTGGTATTAGGTTGTTTTTGGATGAGGGTTGGAGGGCTTACATGATTCGAGCTTTGTCGAGGAGACCCATGGCTCGCATGTGTGCTGTTAACATACCAGCTCTCTCGCCTGCTACTGCTCCTGGCAATTGGTACGCGATGCCGATGAATGTGACGAACCTTGTTCGTAATGAGAAGAAATTATTTTATTGGGGTGGTTGGTACTCACAATGCAATGACGAGGAGTTCTCTAATACCCCTGATATAACCTGCAGAAGAGTTAAATGCGCAAGTAGGTAAACACCAGATGGACAATGCATACTAAGTCGCATATCCGTCGCCTGCTCCTCATTCGTCTCCTGTGAAAAAGGCCATTCTAGAGGCGTCGGCACTTGTACGCCCGTCTGCATATCTATAATAGCCTTTTCAAAGTATGACTTCAACCCTAGCTATAAGAAGAAACCACGACAACTCACCTGATCAATAGCCCACTGCAACGGCAAAATCCTCTTCTCAAAATCACTCCTATGCTTCACCACATCCACAAACATCAAGCCCCCATCCGCCCAAATGGTATAATTAACAGGCGCACTAGTACTCCCATTAACATTAGCTGGTATATCATAAAACGCAACCGCAGCAAAACATTCCGAGAAGAGGTTAAAGTTCTGCGGACACGCGGCGGGTATATCGGTGGGCGATGAGACCTGTTTCACGGCGTTTAGTTGGGAGGGTGTGAATTGGGATGTGATGCGGGCTATGATGTCTTTTGGTAAGGGGTTGCTTTGCCCGTTTGTACCGTCTGCCCAGATGAGAGAGAGGGAGGGGGTCAGTTGGGATTGGAGGGAATAGATGGGTATGGGTTGTCCGATTCCGTACTATGTAAAGTTAATTTAGATGGGTTGGAAGGGGATACTGGACTCACGAAGTTGGGTTTGTTCAGGAAGATCTGGGCGACGGCTAAAAAGATCCCGTATGCGACGGGAAGGATGAAGCATCGCAGGATGTTTAACTATGTAAATGTTAGTTCAGCTGAGATGGTAACGGCCAGTAAACTCACAAATGAGTGTTTTGAGAGTACAATCCAGTTCTTCCATACAAGAGCGCGTAACTGACGCCAAAAAAGATTGGCCATCGTGGAGCTTGAGAGCGGTTGATAGTTGGGGTATCGCTATGGGGTAGCTTGCATGGTATGAAGGTAAGGAGAGAGGGCTGCGGGTATAAGTATCAGTTATAAAGGGAAACATGTCAAGCAAGGGGCGATGCTGGGCAATGTTTGCAAACTGCGATCAAAAGCACGTAAGATAGCCTTAGATAGGTATGCAACTCGTCTCGGCAGGCACAGCGCCAGGGAACAAGCTTTTTGTAAGATCCCTATCTAGGTTCTTCGAACGGGTCGAAGAGGAAAGGACGGTGCAACACATATACAGTTCTTTTCAGCTAATAATACAACGTGTAATGCTCATGGAACTAACTCCTCTTCCCCCCAAGTTCCTTCCTTTGACCTCGTAAAATTCGTTCTGCGGTTGGGAACCACACCAAGCTCAACAAAATCAACCTCGGCGGGATCAATCACCACAAGCGCGAAATTATGAAGCGCCATCTCCCAGTTACTCTTCTCCTCCTCCGTCGCGCCCTCCTTTGGCTCTTCAATACTCACAGGCCAACGCTTCGCCTCTTCTTGTCCACCCTCTAACCGCGTACCAGGAACAGGCCGACACCACGTCGCTTTCATTTTTCCGCCCAGACTCTTGAACGCCTCCACGCGCTTCGCCTCCCAGTCAAAGCCTTCCTTTTTCAACGCCGCGATCCCACTACTTCCTTCATAATCACTTGCTGTACTACTCAGAAAGTGCCGGAAAAGGATGTGGCCTGGCGCAGGGACGACGTGCACTTTGCCTGAAATGCGGAATTGTTGTTGGACACCTTCGATCCACCATGCGAGCTCGGCGTCGGGGTGCGCTGCGAGTTGGGTTACTTTTGGGGTACGAATGTCCGTTGAGCTGATGAGGAGAGGTAGGTTGGGTTTAAATTCGCTGGAGAGGAATGAGCGAAAGACATGGGATCGGACGTGGGGGGTTGGGAGTGTTGGATCTAAGGTAGCCAGCTGAAATACTGTTGGCGTATATTAGCCAAAAATGGGGTTGCGGGTGTCGATCCCACCCGTTTGGTTTTTGTATTCAGCGATGGCTGTTTCTATGGCTATTTTCCAACGGGGCACTGGCATGATGACTTGGAAGGAATTAGGAGGGCGTTATCTAATCTATAACCCTTTGTTTCTGTTTGATCTCCGCTTGAATTGACGGGGTCGTGACCAGTGTTGGATAGGGACTGTCACGGATAGGCTAATCCCGGGTAAACCCGAAATCCACCCATATTTGGGCTCAACTGATGGATTCGGGTAACTACCCGGACTATCCGCAGGTATCCGTGGGTAAATCATATATTTTTAGACCTCTTTGGGATATTTTAAGTGTAGGCAATAAAAACTGCAGAATAGGCCAAAACCAGTGTTCCCTCAATATATTTGCTCTCAATTTCTAAGTTTGGTGATGGAATTGTACATCCATCATATGCATAAAACAAACTTACAATAGAAAAAGGGATCAGGTCCAA